TATATATATGATGAAGGACAAAGGATGGAGGCATAAATAGTAGGAAATGTGCAAAGCCATGGCCAAGACTGCCACAGATTGGTCTGAAGCTAGCCATCTGAAGGCCAGTGTCAGAGGCTATTTGTGGGGCAAGTAGTGGAATGGAAATGGGTAAATGTGGTAGTCAATGTAATGTTAACTTTTATTGCTACATTGAGTGTTTAGATTTTATATATTAGTAATTGAGTTGTTTGAGATAGCATTACTGTAGGGCTTTTTTTTTTTTTCTAGTTCTGGGTAGTCTTAATTTCTACCTTGTAGTAACTGTATAACAATAATAAGGAATAGCCAGGGGTTAGGAAAAACAATGTATAGCTGGCTTCAATCTTGGTTCCAAAGGAGGCAAGTGGTCCTTCCTGCTGCTTAACTGATACCAGCATGGAGACATAAATGTAGGATTATGGAAGAAGATGCAGTCCGTTGCAAGTTGAAGGATCAGTGCATTAGGGATTTCAAAGTGGGAGGTCAGTTGTGACATCTGTATAGGTACAGCATAAAGAATGTGTTTTTCTTACCATGTTTAGGAACACATGTGCGGGGCACCTGGGTGGCTCCGTTGGTTAAGTGTCTGCCTTCGGCTTGGGTTATGATCTCAGCATTGTGGGATCAAGCCTACTCAGGGACGAGTCTGCTTCTCCCTCTCTCTCTGCCCCTCCCTACCATTTGAGCTCTCTCTAGCTTGCACTCTTTCTCAAAGAAATAAAATAAAATCTTTAGAAGGACATCTGCCTTTGGAGAACTCTGTGTGTCCACCCAGTCTGTTGGAAATTCCTGGATGGTCATCATCTCTCATCTTTGCCCCTTTATTCGGGAACATACCTCAGCTAGACTGAAAGTTGGAGTGTTGAGGTAAGAGTTACTTCCTACGGGCGCCTGGGTGGCTCAGTGGGTTAAAGCCTCTGCCTTCGGCTCAGGTCATGATCCCAGGGTCCTGGAATCAAGCCCCACATCGGGCTCTCTGCTCAGTGGGGAGCCTGCTTCCCCCTCTTTCTCTCTCTGCCTGCCTCTCTGCCTACTTGTGATCTCTGTCAAATGAATGAATAAAATCTTAAAAAAAAAAAAGTTACTTTCTAAACATGTGACCAGTGTGATGGTACTATGCAGAATGAAGAAAAGAGTAAATTTTAGAAACAGGACAACTGCCTAGGAGTATCATAGATATGCTGAAATCAAACACTGAGGATTCAACCTTCTGAATTGCCTCTCTGAACTATTTGTTCATAATAAGCATCTGCTTCTATACTTGACCAGCACAATCAGTTTGTTTCCTTTGGTGGGATCTTCCCAACCAGAAGTCTAAATATTTGAGTGATTAACATCTTGGTCCTCAACTTTCTTTCAATCTGTGCATTCTCTGAACATGACCTCAGCTCATCCTTTATCCTTAAATATTTATATACTGATGTTTTTCACACTGCTCTGTCCACACAAGCCAATACTCAACATTGATGTATCCAACTGGATTCTGGCACTTTATGGTCTAATAAAAATCTAAATGTTTATGTGCTTCTAAAAGTCCACTTATTTCCCCCACATTCTGAACCTCAGTAACATTCACCCTCTTGAAGGCAGTTTCCATTTACCTCTTGACTGAAGCAAAATATTTAGGAGTAAACCTTAATTCCTCAAGTTCCTTATCCCCCCATTCCCTGTTTTGAACTCACGGGTTGAGACGTGTCTTAACCCATAGTGTATCTTAATTTTCTCCACCCCTCTTCATCTCCTTTACTCCTTCAAACCACTTCTTATAATTTAAAGCTTCCTCCTTTTCTTCTTTGCTTATTTTATTTTCCCTAACTAGAATATAAGCTCAGTGAGAATAATATGTTTGTGTGTCCCCAAAACCAGCAATGTGGCCAGTACCTAATGGGCATTTTATCAGGATTTGTGGAATGACTGAATGCAGCCCTTGGAATTTTGGATGATGTTTTCCTTCCACCTCTATTTTCCCTTTTAACAGTGGCTTTCTTATTTTCTACTCTCTGCATGTTTTTGCAAGATGCTATTTAGAAAGCAGCTGACTCTGTATTTACTCATTGTGAATCATCTAAGCTCATTTATATGCTTTTTGCTTTTGCCACTCAAGTTTTGTGTATTGTGTTTTTAAAGAGTGTTCAAGAAATAAGGAACATTATTAAAGATTCTTTCATCCTGAGGTCATGCATTCAATACTAGAGACTGGCCAGTCCACACCTGGGCATTCATTGTTCTCTTCTTTCCTAGAAGTCGAGGAAATTGATGATCATCTGCAGTGATGCTTGCATACCCAGAGATTTCTAAAGACGACTAAATATTGAACAATGTGTGAACATAATGTCTTTGAAAGTACTGTTCATCTGGACCAGGATAATTTTCCTTTAAGGCAAAATCATGGGAAAATTCTGAAATCAAATTTAAATTGAGTCAGTTAAAACAGAAGCTGTGAAATAAAGAACCTTGGTGAACACGGTGGAGATGGGAAATCCTTTCTCCTTACAAAATATGAGCAAATTCATACGAAAATGCCTGAAATTGGAAAACCCATTGGCACTAAGACTCCCATTTGTTAAGCATCAGAGAACTCACAAAATGGAGAAATGCACGTATACAGTGAATGTGGGGAATCCTTCATCAGGAAGTCTCAGCTCACTAAAGACGAGAGAATTCACTGGGGAGAGAAACTCCATGGCTGTAGTACATATAGGAAGGCACACACCACAAAGTCTAACTAACAGGAATTTAAATAAAAACTTAGAAAGAAAAAAGATGTATAAATAATCCAAGATTCAAATACTTTTTAAAAAATGCCCATGTCTTATCTCCCCACATTGATTATATATTCCTTGACAGTTTTGCACTAATTCCAGTACCCATTAGCTACATGTGGAAATTTAAATGTAAATTAATCAAAATTAAATTGAAAATGTGTTTCATCAGTATCAAGGGCTCACATTTCAAGAGTTCAATAGTTTTTTGTGGCTAGTAACTACAGTGTTGGACAGTACAGATGTAGAACATTTCATTATCGCCGAACAGTCTGTTGCATGGTGCTGCTTTATAGAGTCACATATCCTGTGTGGTATAGAAAAATAATTATATATTGATTTGGAAGATGAAGGTGAATCGATTATAAAGAAAAAGCTCTATCTTTGCAAAGAATGAGCAATTGTAAGGCAGTTCTAAAAGTACTGAATTGTTCAAAAAACATTTTGTGTACATGTGCATTATTAGAATAAATGTTTACCTATAAAAGGGGGGAGCAGAAGAGGAATGGGATGCCCAGGATAAGTGAAATAAAAGGCATGAGAACCTCGGTCTAAGATGGAAGAAAGCTAGCATATGAAAGGAGGCAAGATTCCTCTTGAGTGTACTGGAGAAACTTTACATTGTTCACAGCCCTATCACCTCTGAACGTTGCAGTAATTTCATAGTTCCCATTTCCTCCGTGACCTGCTTCATTGCACATGTGATCTTCCTTTTCTTTTCTTTCTTCCTCTTATGACTGGGGCTCTTGTCCTCTCTCCTCTACCCAGTCTTTCTCTTGATGCAATAAAGGTATCTTGCTAAAAAAACCCCGTGAATCCTGGTTAGAGAAGAAGAAATGGATATTTGCTATGCAGGAGTTGTCTTATCTTTCACCACACACCCCTGGATTATTGAGGGGGAAATTCAACACATTTTTAAGCACCTAAATTTGGTTATGTCAACATTTGAGATTTGATTCTATAATGCAGTCATTAGATAATTGATAACAGGAAAATTTTCATGATTGATTTGTGTTTTGCTAGGATTGCCTTGCCTGCCTTATGAAAACGAGATGGTACAGACTTAGTATCAGGTAGGAGACTAGGCCTGCATAGTAATGATGAAGAACTGACTTCATGCTTTGACCTGTGGTTACATGACTTTATCAGGTGGATTCTGAACATGATGATGGCCTATGGGGTTGAACATAGTGGGAGCAAATAGGTTAACCTGGCGTCTATGCCACAACCTGTGTTCTCGAGATCTCTGGTTCCTCAGGGGAGTGGGGCGAATATGAGCTGGAGCAGGGCTAGAAAGGCCTGCAAATGGCTGGCAAAGGCGGCTTGGTGCTGCAGACGCACAATACTGTGCTAAATCAGTTCTCTGTGGTCATTTTATTTTCTACACATGAAGATTTCCAGTTGCAATATCCAAAACACGGGAAACAGTTATGCTGTGCGAAAGAAGCGGGGGTGGGGTGGGGTGGGGAGAAGTACACCCACGGCTCATTTCACGAATACGTCGCAGACTAATCTTTAAGGACAAACGGCTGCCTAGGGTTGATAAGGGGCATGGTTGGGATGAGGCTGGCAACAGGCTCAACGACCGTGGCTTCAGCCTTCTTTGCGACCGCCGCACACCCCATATCATCTCACTTTTCCAAACCGTGCTCTCTTGAAGCACACTCGCCCAGCTCCCAGGCAGCTAGTGCTCCGCCGCCCGGACACCTAACTCCGCTCCGGGCGCAACCCTCCCCGGCCACAGCGCACTGCCTGCTTTCTTGTCACCCTGCTTAAATTCTGACTCGGCTTCTGAGCCTCTTCTCAATGAGAATCGAGACTGCGGGGCCCGGAGGTTATTTTAATTTCCCACCTTGCTGAGACGTCCGGCCGTAGGAGCCACGCCCCTTAGACGGGGTAGGGCTCCCGGCTTTTGAATACTTGGCGCCGTTCCCCGTCCCTTACCACGAGAAGCCCTGCCCCTTCAAAGATGATCCCCATGTAATGTCTGCCTTGAGTGAACTCGAGCCTCTAAACATCTCCCCATTTTCCCGTAAGAGCTGAGGGGCCAGGAAGCACGAGGGATTTGGCACGCTCACCATCCTGTCACCGCGAAAACGCGGCCGCCGAGCCTCCAGTACGTCAGGTGTGCCAAGATGGCGGCCCCCAGGGCGTCCAGGCGACGGGCACACGGCTGTATGACCTCATAAGGAAGCGCCGGAAACCCGTAATCCGTTTTCCATAGAAACGCGCCAGAAACGCCGCTGACCCCAGTCAGGTGTTCCCGGGAAAAGAGACTGGGTGAGGGGACTAGAGCGAAGGAAGTTTAGGGAAGTAAGTTGGGCCCTGAAGAGGTCGCTGCAGGCTCAGGAGAGACTCCTGCCCGCGTGTAGGTCAGTCTGTGGAGAAGGGTTGGGGAGGAGAGGGGCGGCCTAACGGCCTCTGGGTCAGTTGTTGGTCCCTTAAGTTCGTGAAGGTAGCGAGGGGCGGGTGTGTTTTTGGAGGTGAGCACGGAGGAGTCTGTACTGTATGTAATCGAGATGTCTTTGGGTCAATCGTCGGGGGCTGTGGTGGTCAGTGATGGAATGTCTGAACAGATCAACTACCGAGAATCCTGAAGTCAGGGTTTAGAGTCGTCGAGAGTCCTGAAGTCAGGGTTCAGAGTCGTCGCGGGTCACTCTCCTTGTAGGTGATTGACAGCTGGCGGGGTGATGTTTGTCAGTGAAGGCGGCGTTTGGCGCGGATCTGGAATAATTTGGAGCTCAGTGATCGGGGAACCATTAAGGGAGGTTAATGCATGTGTGTAGCTGGTCTGGGTTTGGTATTGTCTGTCTTCTGTGCAGGGTTGTGTGACAACAGGCGTGCATGTTCAGGAACACCGGCTGGTTGGTGCTTTGGGCTCATATTCGCTCCTGGAACAGAGTTGTTGAATGTTAGCATTCCTCAAAAGCTTCAAGCCCAAATCTGTCCTCCATATAATCTCTTAATTTCTTTTGGCTCCCCCACATGAGCCCATCCCTTTGAACCTGCAGAAATGAAATATTTGGGAGAGAGGAACGATTCAGATTTTAAATTAATTAGCCTTTTTTTCACCAGATTTTATTTATTTATTAGAGAGAGAGAGTACAAGCACAGCGAGCAGCAGAGGGAGAGGGAGAAGCAGGCTCCCCGCTGGGCAAATAGCCTGACGCCAGCTTGATTTATAGGACCGCAAGATTATGACCTGAGCCCAAGGCAGCCACTTAATCGACTAACGCAACCAGGCATCCCTAATTAGCCTTTTATTTAAGATTCTGTATTTATCCTTCTGTAATTTTTGTGTATTCTTTTGGATATTTCCTCTCAGGTTACCTATGTATGTAAAGACTGCTGTTTTCCCAGTATTTATATTTTTGAGGTGTTTCTTTTTTTTTTTTCTTTTTTTTTTTTTAGATTTTATTTATTTATTTGACAGATAGAGATCACAAGTAGGCAGAGAGGCAGGCAGAGAGAGAGAGAGAGAGGAGGAAGCAGGCTCCCCGCCAAGCAGAGAGCCCGATATGGGGCTCGATCCCAGGACCCCGGGATCATGACCTGAGCATGAGGCAGAGGCTTTAACCCACTGAGCCACCCAGGCGCCCCTTGAGGTGTTTCTTAAAATTTGTTCCTTCCCCCTTTTTTTGGTGTGCTCATTGTTCCTCACATTGAAGTGTATGTAGATAGGGTATGTAAAGACTTTTAAAAGAGGTAGGAGAGCAACATAGTTTAAAGGAAAAATTCGCTGTTCCTCACTGTCCATATGGCCTCATTTCTGAAATTGATCTGAAAATTACCTGCCAGGGAGGCATAGTTCTGTTGATTCTCCTTTGCCACTTTCCCCATCCTTGTTATCTCTACAGTTCAGAGTCTTATGCCTAAGGCATGAATTCTGGGGAATGAATAAAGAGACAGAAATACTGGGACCATGTGTTAAGGTGAGTGCATAGCAAGAGAGAATGCAACGCTGAAAGTAATTTTGTTCTTTGGCCCACAGATCCTGACAAGAAGTGAATGAAGAAAAAGGAGGTCCCAGGACCTAAATTGTGTCATCTCTGGGCCACTTTTGACTGGTGACTAGATTTCTAACTAGAAATTTAGAGCATATCCAGAAGACACAAAGACAGAATATTTTAGTTGCTGGCCATTTCTCAAAACAGAAGAAAATGATCAATGCCCAGGTGATTTTTGTCTTGTTTTATTCTCTCCCTTGTTCCCTAATGGATGTGTAGAGGCTTGTAAAAATCGGTTCAGTATCTACAGAGAATTAAAGTTTGACTCTAACTCCAACATTGTCACAAAGCAGAAGGAAGAATATAGGGCTCAGGGGCGCCTGGGTGGTGCCGTTGGTGAACTGTCCGGCTCTTGATCTCAGCTCAGGTCTTGATCTGAGGTCATGAGTTCAAGGCCTGGACTGGGTTCCACGCACATGGAGCCTACTTAAGAAAAAAATAAAAAAGAACATAGTGTTCATATGATTCCTAGTAAATGACGAATGTTGTAACACCACGTGTAACTGAAGGATCCTCTGGCTTACATTAGCTGTCACACTGCATCTCTTGTGTGCAAAACCAACACGAGAGAATCATGTTATGTGATATGCAGTGACCATGAGGAGAAAGCAGAATGGTTCCTCTAGCACTGAGGACTCAAGGAAAATGTTATAATCTTAGAGGTGACGGAGTGGACAGTGTTGTGAGCAGTAGCCTTCCAATAAAGGAAGCAGCAGACTTCCTACTGCTATTACAGAGTTCCTCAGAGCCTCCTGTGGGAATAGGCCAAGGAAACTCAGTGACCACGATTTTTGCAGGGGACCAATGCAAGTCTTTATGAACGGATGGCTGAACTGGCATTAAATTACAGATTCGGCGTTAGATAGTTGCAGGAAGTTTTGTCTGGTAAGAGCTTGAGTTATAAGGTTCTGGAGTGTTTGCTGTATAACTTCATGTTATCCCAGAAAATGTGTTATCCTTTTCCATTTTAAGATCTAATTTTTACATACTCTTCCTTTATTGCTTTTGTTTCTTATATTTGTACAAATGACTCATGAGTATCATTTTTTCAAAAAGATTTGTTTATTTATTTATTTATTTACTTATTTATTTTAGAGAGAGAAAACACACAAGTGGGGAGCGGGGCAGAGGGAGAGGGAGAATCCCAGCCTCCGAGAGGGTAGCCTGGAGTCTATGCAGGGTTCGATCCCACCACTCTGAGGTCACAGCCTGAGCTGAAATCAAGAGCTGGACGCCCAAGCGATGGAGCCACCCAGAAGCCCCCCATGAATACCTTTTATTATTTTTTTCTCATGAGGACCTTTTAAAGGAAAAAAATCCTCATGATGGAGTATACATGGGCAAAAAAATAAATTCCCTCTTTCTGTCCCCTTTCCTCATTGCTTCGTACCACTTCAGCAGAAACTTGGTGTGTTCTTGCTGTCACTGAACCTGTGTGTGCATCTGTATACACGTGCCCATTTAGAAATGTATTTAGGTTTATGTATATTTGTGTTTGTAAACACAACTATCACGACATTTTGTGTATCAGTGGAATCATACTCCAAAGGACATAATCTGTTGGTTTAAGATGCTATAATTCAAGCATCTGAAGGAATAATAAGCGCAACTGATTGGTGACTATTAACTACAAAATTCATTTGCCTGTAATCATACTCAGCAAAAGGAGTTAAACGATGTGAAGCATTTAATGAGTGCCTCCTAAATGGTATGTGCTTGATCCATGCCTGAGATCTTTCGGTGCTAATAGGACAGGATCAAATTGCTAAGTTTTCTCTCTTTTTTAAAGATTTTATTTATTTATTTGAGAGCGGGAGTGCACAGAGGGAGAGTGAGAGGGAGAAGCAGACTCCCCACTGAGCAGAGAGCCCAACGTGGGACTTGATCCCAGGACCGAGATCATGACCTGAGCTGAAGGCGGACACTTGACTGAGCCACCCAGGTGCCCCGAGATTGCATAATTTTCAACAATTGGATTGGTCCAATATTCTTTTGCCTTCTTTTGAGATTGGAATCCTTATTTACTTGTCGGCCGGTTGGATTTTTTCTCTTGCGAAATGCCTTTTACATTTAGAAAAACATTTTTTTCTTACCAGTTAATGAGAATTAACCACTGTGTATTGGTCCTTTATTTTGTTTATAAAAAAACATCTCCCAGCTTGTCACTTTTCTTTTCACTCTGTTCATGATATCTTTTTCAACACAGATGTTTTAATTCTTTCCTTTCACAAAATTTATTATTTTTCTATGGATTTTGGATTGTAACATGAACATCATAGGTTCCTTTGTTTTATGGTTAACTTGAAACAGGGAAAAGGTATTTTCAAGTGTGATATTAGGTAGGAACCTAAATTTTCGTTTTTCCAAATGGGTCTCCATGTCACGTAAAATAATCAGAATGTGATAATATCAGCAGTGTTAAGAATATGCAGGCTCTACCAACTCTGTTCTCTTCTCTCTGTAATCTCTCAATGATGTGGGGATAGATTTCCATCAGTTTTTCCCTGATGTGGCAGGTCCATTGACAAGCAGGTCTCAGTTCATTCCCTGGTAGCATTCAGGCATAAGCTTTATGACCACAGGGCAGGACATTGAAGACATTCCACACTCTTGATCTGTTTTTTTATTCACAGAAGTTCTGACACAAAATGTGTCTATTTTACTCAGACCTACTAATTCTACAACTCTGTTGGGTGTCCTACCCACCCAGCTGAGTGTCCTACAATTCAACTTAATTCTGACACTCACTACCTGGGGTTCACATCAGATCCCACAGGCCAAGGGCTTGGTTTTGTGAGACTGCCCCCACTCTAGGTGCCAGCCCAAAGTCCCAGATTGTTACCTATATTTGTGGTGACCAGCTGTAAATTTGACGGTTCCCACAACCCCCCTTTCAGGGTTGGTAATACGCTAGAACAATTCACAGAACTCAGGAAAGCACTTTACAAACATTTACTGATTTACTGTAAAGGCTACAACTCAGGAATAGCCAAATGGAAGAGATCCACAGGGCCAGGTAAGGGAGAAGGGGTGAGGAGGTCCTCCCTCAGGGAACCACCCTGTCCCTACCTCAGTGTGTTCACCATCCTGGAAGCTCCCCACGTCTGTTGTGTAGGGGGTTTTATGATGGTTTTCTTATACAGGCACAGTTGATTAAATTGCTGGTCGTCCAGTCCGTCTTTCCTCCCTGGCTGCTGGGGGTCTTTCAGGTCCCTTATCCTGAAGCTCTGCAGCGGCCCCCCAGCCATTAGTCATCATGTCAGGATGCAGAAGACACTTAGGACTCCAGAGAGTCCAACAGTTTTAAGAAACTGTGCTGGGAACCAGGGGAAGACCAAATACAGATTTATTACGACATTTTCCCTGCTTCTATTGTTTTTATTTCACTAAATTTTATCTCTCTTTAGTTGGTAATGAGTCTTTTCTTTCTGGTTGTTTTCATAGTTTGACTTTTGCAGCTGGTGTTCTATGTGGTCAGACTGATGAGTCTAGACTCGGATTTCCTGCCGGGTTTTGCTTGCTGACTAAGTCTGTGTTGCAGGATGTTTTGTCAGTTCTGAAGTTTTCTCAGTCCTGAGATCTTCGCATTGCTTCTCCGATTCTCTGTAATTGCTCCCAAAAACTATGTATAGGCCTCACTCTATCTTCAGTCTTTATTAACTCTCCTTTATATTTTCTATCTTTTTGTGTGTCTGCTTCATTTTTTGGTTATTTTTTTAATGAATATTCCAGTTCACCGATTATCTCATAAGTGTATCTATGATGCTAACCTTTTATGAAAGAATAAAAAACATACACTCATCTCTGCCCCTAGTTCTGACACAAGGCTCCTAAAATCCTTGTAATTCCCTAAGTGAAAAGAGTACCAGAGGCATCTTTTGTTCAAATATTTGGTCTTTGACCTCATCTGTGACAGAGTTCCTAAATCCCTTGGAATTTCCTGGGTGATAGAAGCATCTCTTGTTCTAATGGCATGACTCTGGGTGGATTCCTGTGTGTGGGGAGTGTCATCAGAAAGACCAACCCATGATTAGAAGTGTGGGATTTTCAGTGATACCCCCCATCATCCAGAGAGGGGAGAGGGGCTTGAAATTGAGTTCATGACGAGCCATGCCTGTATGATGGAGCCTCCATAAAATTCCAAAGGTGTGTGAGTTGGAGCGCTCCCCATTTGGTGGACATGGGTGCTGGGACATGGGTGCTGGGTGACGCACCCCTCCCCTCATGCCTTGCCCTGTGGGCCCCTTTGATCTGGATGAAATCTGCGTCCTTTATAATATTCTCTTACAATAAACTAGTATGCAGTCAGTAAACTGAGTTCTCTGAGCCGCCCAAGCAAATTCAACCCAAGAAGGGAGTCATTGGGACCTCCAGTTTATAGCCGGTTAGTCTGAAGCACAGGTGACAACATGAACTTGGATTGGTGGTGTCTGAAGTGGGGGCAGAGGTGGCCTTGTGGAACTGACCCCATGAAATGTGACACTATCACCAGGTAGCTCATGTTAGAACTGAGTTGAATTTTAGGCTACCCAGCTGGTGTCAGGGAATTTCTTTAAAAATGTGCAGACCACAAATTATACATCAGACTTGGCCTCAGCTTTGTAGTTACTATTAGCAGAACAACTTCCTCTGTACTTATGAATCAATGAAAGAGAAACACTCATACGAAACGGGAACATGTTGTTATAGGAACCGCTGACACTGGAGGACGTGGCCGTGGACTTCACCTGGGAGGAGTGGCAGCTGCTGGCCCCCGCCCAGAAGGGCCTGTACTGGGACGTGATGTTGGAGAACTACAGCAACCTGGTGTCAGTAGGTGAGGACAGCTCCCCTGTGTCACTCAGAGAGTGCCCAGTTAGTGGCCTTTCTGTTCTCAGCTGCTTACACTCCAGAGCCACCGCTTTGCTCCATTTGGCAGATTCTCAGTGCCTCCTTGGGCACATGATACAAGGGTCTGATGTACTACGACCTGCTCTCACTACCACCACAAACGGTGCCAAACCTGTGGGGTTTTTCCACACCAAAAACCAGTTCTCCAACTCTCCAGGGACCAGCTAGGTGTCCTGCCATTCATTTCAGTTCTGCCACTACCCAGAGTTAGCCTCGGACTCCACAGGCTTAAGGACTCAGTTCCACAGGACTGCCCTCACTTCAGATGCCAGTGGCCACTGCTGGGTGCCCACTACCCAGGTTACCCATGCTTCAGTCCAGCAATAAATTGGGCATTCCTGCAACCCCCTTCAGGCCTGGCAATTTGCTAGAACAGCTCACGGAGCTGGAAGGCACTTACTTAAGATTACCATTTTTTTATAAAGGATAAAACTTGGGAACAGCCAAAAGGAAGAGTTGTATAAGGCGTGGTATGGAGAGGGAGGGGTGTGGACCTTCCATGACCACTCTAGGTCTTCCCACCCTCCCAGCCCTTCAGGTGTGTTCACCAGCCTGGAAACTCCCAACTTGGTGGTTTAGGGCTTTTTATGGAGGTTTCATTCTGTAGGCATGATTGCTTAAATCATAATTAACTCAGTCTACCAGTGGCAGGGGCAGGGGATTGGAGCTGAAGGTTCCAACCTTCTCATCCCGCCAGTGTCTTTGTGGCAACCAGCCACCACACTCAAGCTCTACAGGGGTCCCTGCCATTAGTCATTAGTTCACAGAAAGACACTCATCACTCTAGAGATTCTAGGGGTGTTAGAAGTTCTTGTGTCGGGACCCGGAATTTAGACCAAGTGCTCTAACAGAAGATGCTCCTGTCATGGCTGTCACTTAGGAAATTACAAGGGCCTTAGGAGCTCTGTGCCAGGAACCGGGTACAGAGACCAAATCCACATCATTATCTCACAGAATCACACGTGCCCTCTCCTGAGAGATAAGCTTCTGCTTTGCAGATGTGAAAACTGTCTCAGGCCCTCAAATGTAGCATTCCCCCATCTCGACACACCCCAGCCCGATTCAGTGAGTCTAAGTGTTCTCTTTCCCACGAGCAGGGTATGAAGCCAGCAAGCCAGATGCTCTCTCCAGGCGGGAACGAGGGGAGGAACCGTGGGCGAAACAGGAGGAAGTCCACGGTGGAACTCGGCCGGGTGAGTGAGAACCGGGACCCGGGTAACTGGAAGTTGCCCTCGTCATCATCATCGAGAGAAGGCTGGCAGCGGTGCTCCTTGTATCTCTCTCCCATAGCAGAACTTTCCCTTTAGGTCTTTAGAGGGAAGTTGAACTCTTTTTTTCTCTTCTGATATCTGATCCTTGCTTTTTTTCATTTTACATCTTGATTTTTGTTGGTTTGCCTAGTTTTCTTCCATGGAGTCTGTGGCTTACCCTTTCTTTGTACCCTGTCAGAGTGTGTGTCCCTATTCCTTCCGCCACCCTGGCTGTGAAATCCGCAGCCCCCAGTCCCCAGGCCTTACTCCAAAGAGAGCCGTGTGAATTCACACCGTTTCTGACTATAGGTACCTTCCTGCCCAGCTCTTGGGAAATGCGAGTTGCCCTCCCTACGGCCAGCTCCAGCCTGTGTTGTACCATCACAGTAACCTGGTCTCTTACGGGGCATCAGTCCTTTCTAGCTTTCCCCTCCACTCGAGATTCTTCCAACTCTTTTCCATTTTCTCTGCTGAATTCCTGATACTTGAGGCTTTCCTTCTGGCTCATGAATTAAGCTCTTTCTGTTGTCTGGAAGAGACTCCAAATTGGTGTCTCCTACATACTGTGTAGCATTGTGGGTATTTTACCTGCCCAAGATTTCTGAGTCCCTGCATGAGGAGAAGTAATCCCCTTCCCTCCACCAACAATCCCCTTCCATCTCGTCTGAGCGTCAGATTTGCCTTTTGTACTGTGCACCTTACCCCGTCCACACTGCTCTCAGCTATAGCATTCTTGTCTTTAAGGTCTCTGCTCTTTCTGTTCAGTGTTTCACTAGAAAAGATGGTTTTACATCCTACATCACTTCTACCCAAAATCAGCTTATGCCTGCCTTGATGGCTTCCTTCGTATGGTTAATATTTCCGATATTCCCTTGGTTTGTCCAAGGTCTTCCCATTTCTCTAAATCATTTGTTTTCCCCATTTTTAAAAGCAGCTTTGAAATAATTTGCATAACCTATAATTTGCCAACTTAGCACATACAATTCAGTGCATTGTAGTACATTGACAGGGTTATGTAACCATCCCCTTAGCAATTTTGGAAGATTTTCGTCACTTTGAAAAGAATCATTTCCAGGGCGCCTGGCTGACTCACTCAGTAGAGCATGTGACTCTTGATCTGGGGGTTGTAGAAATTACTTAAAAATAAAATAAAAAAAAAATAAAGTAAAAATTAAAAAGAAACTTTTCTTTCCAGGCCCCAAGCTCTGGGCAGCCACTGATCGACTTTCTGCCTCTAGAGACGTGACTGTTTTGGATATTTTATATAATCATAAAATATTTGGTCTTTTGTGTCTGGCTTCTTGCATTTAGCCTAAATTTTCTAAAGTTCTTTCATGCTTTAACATGTGTTAGTACTTCATTCCTTTTTATTGCCAAATACTATCCCCACAATTTATTTACTCATTCATCTGTTGATGGACATTGGGTTTTTCCAATTTTTGGCTTTTAGAATTATGCTATGAACATTCATTTTCTTAGGTATACACCCAGCAGTGGAATTCTAGAAGCACATAGTGCTTCTAGACTCGTGGCCAGCATTACCTCCTCCCAGCCACGGTGTGTGAGAATATGCAAAGAGTACTGCCAACCAGGGGAGCTCACTTGAACCTTTGGCGTCCAGTGGTTTTACTGGGGCTCACTCACACATTGCCTACATGGCTGAACTTTAGTTTTTAGCCCCACCAGAAATCACACTAATTCTCCAGTTCCTCTGAGGGTCCAGAGGTTGAAACTGATATGGCATGGCCCAAAGTCTCCTTCATAAACCACACTGTTAGAGTATCCAGTGTCCAAAAGCCCCAGGCAAACAAAGGCACTCCTATCAGGTAGGACATTGTGAGGCCCTAGAGATCACTTCCCTGGAGCCAATGGCAAGGGCCAGACCTCTCTTTGGTTGAAATTAAATCTTAACTGAAGGTAACTATGAAAAAAAACAATAAAGGGACTAATTTAGAAATAAAAAGGAAATAGAGTTTATGGTTGTATCGTCAGAATCAAACGACAGCATGATATATACAAAGGATAGCTACATTTTGAATTAGGAAGATGCCACTGGGAATTAGGAATGAAGGCATGAAATAGGAAACTGCAAGGCATGGTATTAACTACTCAGAATGGCTTGAAGTTGGCTGGATGAAAGCAGCATTAGAAGGTGTCGACGGGAGAATCAGTGGAGTGGACACATGGATAAATGGGAGTATTCACGAGGGTGTGCACTTTTATCTCCAGAATGACTGGATTTGATATGTGAGTACTTGAGGTAGCATGGTGGGGGGCTGTGGTTGGTTTTGCATTTTTTAAAAGATTTTATTTATTTATTTGACAGACAGAGATCACAAGTAGGCAGAGAGGCAGGCAGAGAGAGAGAGAGGATGAAACAGGCTGCTTGCGGAGCAGAGAGCCCGATGCGGGGCTCGATCCCAGGACCCCGGGATCATGACCTGAGCCGAAGGCAGAGGCTTTAACCCACTGAGCCACCCAGGTGCCCCGGTTTTGTATTTTTTGTAGCTCTAGGTTCTATGACCTTTCACCTGGACAGTGGTAGTGGAGTAACAATAAGGAACAGCTAGATGTTCTAAGAAAAACTGAAGCTAAAGCTGAACTTTTAGAGGAGGAAGTTGCTCCTCTCGTACAACCTGTTGCCAGCCAAGACACAAACGTAGAGCTACTGAACTAGATGCTGCTGCCGGCAAGTGCGGGAACAGCATATCGGGGACTCTGAAATGGGAAAAGCTTGGGTACGATTTCCGTATTGATGCAGAATGTCATCAGCTTGACAGTTTCTATATCCTGTGCAGGAGCATGTCAGCTTCTGAAAATGGCTACCCGGTACACTGTCCGGCTGCCAGATTTCCTACCGTCATGGTCCGCCTATTCAGTGTAGATGGAACGTAGGATAACATGAGAGCCAGGCTAAGGGTGCAGTTCACTAAATCTGACTGATGTCTGTGGAAAGTTAGTCTGGTGGTGGTCTACAGAAAGGCCAGTTGAGGAACAGGATTACTATGCAAGAGTCTGTCTCAGGTCACTTTCAATTCTGAAGACCTTACTTGATCACTTGCTAGGTAACAAATGCATTTATTCATACACCTCCATTTGCATGGTTCCCCAGTGTCCCTAGTCAGATTTTGGGTTCTCTAGGTGAACTTAAAGAATCCCCAGCCTAAGTGTTGAAATGTCTAAAACCTTCTGTGCCTTCAACCATCTTTCATTACCTGTATTCTTACAACTTTTCACCCAGTCTTCTTTCCTTAATGACAGGTATGTTATCATTTCAACACTGCTATCTCCGTCTACACCTCCAACCAGACCTCGATGTCTGTACTACATTGTCCACTAATCCTCACAAAGTTTACGTTCTACAACACAGATTTTTTCCTATACGTTCTGAATTTCAGCAATATTCCTCATCTCCATTTGACATGCCTTCACCTACCGAGTGGTAGGTACCCAAGCCGTATGGTTAGCAGGGAAATCCTAGATTCCTCACTGTCATTAACCACTCTCCCCTGAACTCATCATTCAACTGTCTTGTCTTTATGAGGTATATCCTGATTCCCTCCACTTTCCAGTCTCCATTGCTCCTTCAATCACATTTCACAATATCCAACTCCCCTTCGTTTTTCTTTTCTTCATCATTTGGTTTTCCCTAACTTGATGTATGATCAGTGAAAGTGAGGCATATTTTATATATTCCAAACACCAGCATAGTGCCTTGTACACAGGAGCCATTCAGGAAACAGTTTGGAGTGGACAAATGCAACCCTCACAGTTCTGGATAGTGGTCTCTTCTCCCTTTGTGATCTGGTGTTTTTCCAAGTTCTGTGGAATGGTGTTCCTCCAACCCTGTCGTTTGCTGCCAACAATGACTTGCTTCTGTTTTTACTATTTCTGCATGTTTTGTGAGATCCTAGTTAGAAAGCAGCAAATCTACATACATTGTCAGATGCATAACCTTATTTATACTTACTGCTTTTCCCTTTGGGTTTGTTTGTATTACTGTGTTTTTACCAATGTATAAGAGATAAGGAACATTTATATATGGCATTTCTTTTATACCGTTATCATAGGGTTGTCAGTAACATGCCATTTTTTAAGAAACATGAAAGAATTTTTTGAAGTTATATGCAAAACAAGATTATGAAAGGATTCATTGTTCTCTTCTCTTCTAGAACCTAGCAAAGTTCATAACCACATGCAAGGTCACTGGGAAAGTCCAAGAATGCTGAAAGGTATGGAACAAAACCACAAAAGTGATGCATTTGGAAGTACTGTTCCTCAAAGCAAAAATCATTTTCCTTCCAGGCAAAATCACATGCTTGAGTTCTATATAAAAACTTTGAAATCAAATTTAAGTTTAGTCAACCAGAGCAAAAGCTATGAAATTAAAAACTCTACTAAATTCAGTGGAGATGTGAGGTTATTTCTGCATGATAAGCATGAAGATTTTCATTCAGCTGTTAAACTCCCTATAAGTGCAAAACCTATTAGCAGTAAGTCCCAAGTCATTAAGCATCAGAGAACTCATGAAATAGAAAAACCCCATATATGCAGTGAATGTGGAAAAGCCTTCATTAAGAAGTCTCAGCTCACAGATCATCACAGAGTTCATACAGGAGAGAAACCTTATGGATGCAATATTTGTGCAAAAGTGTTCTCCAGAAAGTCCAGGCTCAATGAACATCAGAGAATTCATAAAAGAGAGAAATCCTTTCTATGCAATGATTGTGGAAAAGTCTTCACCATGAAGAGTCGTCTAATTGAACACCAGCGAACTCACACTGGAGAGAAACCCTATGTATGCAGTGAATGTGGAAAAGGTTTCCCAGGGAAGCGGAATCTCATTGTGCATCAGCGAAATCATACTGGAGAGAAATGCTACGTGTGCAGCGAATGTGGAAAAGGCTTCACCGGGAAGAGCATGCTTATCATACACCAGCGAACTCATACTGGAGAGAAGCCCTACATCTGCAGTGAATGTGGGAAAGGCTTCACCACGAAGCACTATGTCATCGTACATCAACGAAATCACACAGGAGAGAAACCCTATATATGCAACGAATGTGGGAAAGCTTTCACGATGAAGAGTAGACTAATTGAACATCAGCGAACCCACACAGGTGAGAAACCCTATGTATGCGATGAATGTGGCAAAGGCTTTCCCAGGAAGAGTAATCTCATCGTGCATCAGAGAAATCATACAGTAGAGAAATCCTATGTATGCAGTGAATGTGGAAAAGGTTTCACCGTGAAGAGCATGCTTATCATACACCAGCGAACTCATACTGGAGAGAAACCCTACATCTGCGGTGAATGTGGGAAAGGCTTCCCCCTGAAGAGTCGGCTGGTCGTCCATCAGCGAACACATACTGGCGAGAAACCTTACAGATGCAGTGAATGTGGGAAAGGTTTCATTGTGAATAGTGGACTGATGTTACATCAGCGAACTCACACTGGAGAGAAACCCTATATATGCAATAAATGTGGAAAAGGTTTTGCATTTAAGAGCAATCTTGTGGTACATCAGCGAACTCATACTGGAGAGAAACCCTTCACGTGCAGTGAATGTGGAAAAGGCTTCACCATGAAACGCTATCTCATTGTACATCAACAAATCCATACAGGAGAGAAATCCTACATATGCAGCGAATGTGGGAAAGGCTTTGCTACGGAAACTGAGCTCATTTTACATCAGCAAATTCATACTGGAGAGAAACCTTATGCATGCAATGAATGTGGTAAAGGCTTCACTGTGAAAAGCCGACTAATCGTTCATCAGCGAACTCATACAGGAGAGAAACCCTTTATATGTAGTGACTGTGGAAAAGGCTTCTCCTCAAAGAGAAATCTTATGGTACATCAGAGAACTCATAATGGAAACAAACCCCAGTGACACAGTGAATATGGTCACACCCTCAGGAGGAAAATACGCCTCGTGCAACATCAGAGATTTCACGCAGAATTAACTTCCTTTATGTGTACTGACTGTGGTAATCCCATTCCCAGGGAATTTATGCAGCAAACTATGTAGACTGTTAATGGGAGAAAGCCTTCAATACCAAGTCAGCAGCCATCGTACATCAAAGAATTCATAGAAAGACTCTTTGGATTTCACAACACCTTTCATTTGTTAAGCCTTGTCAATACACACAAGAAATGTGTAAGTCAAGGTACATAAGCCTTTGCAGAGAATCTGAAGTCCTTACCTACAAGTGAACTCTCGCAGGGGGTAAACCGTGATAGTTCAGTGACCTCATTAAACATCAGTGTGCTCCCAGCATACCTGAATATAGTCAGTATAGATCAATTAGCCTGTTGCTAGATTTTCACCCTTGGGAAATACTGAATTTGCACAGGAGTGAAGTTCAATGAATGCAGACAATGTGCTAGTGCCTTCAGTGATCAATTACCTCAGATCCTATGTCACAACAGGAAAAAACCTGATACTTCAATGCAGAAAAGTCCTGAGGAAACATTTCTAGGTAATTACATGTCTGAAAAGTATATATTAAGATAAAGCTTATGAATGGCGAGCATAGGAAAGCCTCCTATGGGAATAAAGACCCTGTCTCATCAGTGATCATAATAGATCCTACCAGCGAGCTTACACACCGTAGCAATGATATGATTGTGCAAAAGCCTTTGCCTAGAATTAAAACCTCAATAATTGTGTGAAATTCATGTTGAAGGAAAATGGCAGTGAATATGAATTTTAGCACTACATTCTGCCTCATTTCTGATAAATTCATTACAGACAGAAAACTCATGAACACAATAAATGTGGAGTAGCTAGCAGAGAAATTTTGAAGGAAAGAAGCCTCACGAAAACGATGCATACCTGAGTTTTCCATCAGTAAGTCTAATCTTCTACATCTGATGTCCATTTTGGGGCAGGAAACCTTGAACCATATTCTCAGTGAGGCCATCATTTTAAAGTAGGCTATCCTCAACACTGATTAAATTTTAATGTACACAATGCAGGGGTGTTCTGTGCCCTATTTGCATCATTGTATCATTAGCTCTTAGATTTTTTAGGTTCTAAAGTCCTCTCTTTCAGGCAAAAGAAAAAGGAATATATTTATAAATGTAATTTAACAAATTAGGGTGTATTTATTCAAGTTTGAAAGTAGTTTACAAAAATAACCTTATATATGATTTTTCTAAGTTTTTGGAAATAATTTTAGACTCACATAAAATTATAACGTGTACAAAGTTCCTGAGTACTTGTACTTGGGTTCTTCAGTGACAGTATCTTACATAACCATAACACGTAATCAAAACCAATAGAATGACATGGGTACAATGCACTAAGTAAACTATAGGCCTTATTTGGTTTTCACTAGTGTTTGCATGCATTAATTGATGGGAAGTTTTGTTTTTTAGTGTAGCGTTATAAGAAACCTGATCACATATATAGATAGACTCCTGTAAATCTCACCACAGTCAGGATGCAGAATTGTTGTGCCTACGCAAAGAAACATCCATGTGCTGCCCCTTTATAGTGACACTCTCCCCACAACCCTGATCCATGGAGGCCACTGACCAGTACTCCATCACTCTGATCTTGTCATTTCAAGGATGCTGTTAAAATGGAATGACACAGTGTGACCTTTGGGATAGGCTCTATTTCACGCAGCAAATTGCCCTTAAGATTCATCCAATTTGTTGGGCATATAGTTTTACTTTTTGTTACTGAGTAGTATTCTTTTGCTATGAATGCACCATAGTTTACTTGTTCAATATTGGTGGACTTTGGGTTGTTTCTAGTGTTTCATTATTATGAATAAAGATACTATGAGTCCAGTTTTGTATGAACATAAGTTTTCATTTCTTTGGGGTAAATACCCATGTTAAGTTTGTGTTTTTAACTTTATAAGAAACTGACAAACTTTTCCATAGTAGCCATACTAATTTACATTCCCACCTTCAGTGTATCAATGCCCCAGTTGTATCTTGTCCTGCACTTGGCACAGTCATATTTGATCCTAGACTTCCTGTCAGGCGTGTGTAGCATATAATGGTGGTCTTTTTTTTTTTTTAAGATTTTTATTTATTTGACAGAGAGATCACAAGGAGGCAGAGAGGTAGGCAGAGGGAGAGGGGAAAGCAGGCTCCCCGCTGAGCAGAGAGCCCCATGCGGGGCTCGATCCCAGGACCCTGAGATCATGGACTGAGCCGAAGGCAGAAGCCCAACCCACTGAGCCACCCAGGCGCCCCTATAATAGTGGTCTTAACTGATCTTTCCCAAACCTGCTCATACACTGAGCAGGTAAAGTTGTCATTTTTGCTTTCAATCGTCAAACATAATTTTAAAAACTCAAAGGGGAATAGCCTATTACGTCTGATGATATATTTACCTTTTTTATTTCATTTTCTTCATTCCTGGTGTTTCATGTTTCCTTCTGTCATTCCCTTTTTGTTAGAACTTCCTTTATCAATTCTTTTTGAGCAGGTCTGCTGGTAAAAAATCTTAGTTTTCCTAGCAAAAAGCCTCTTGCTCTCCCCTTTTTTTCCTTGTTCTTCTTTATCCAGTTATTTCCTTGATATATGAACATGTGGGATGCCTGGGTGGTTCAGTCATTTAAGCCTCCGACTCTTGGTTTTGGCTCGGTCATGATCTTAGGGTTGTGGGATCAAGCCCCACATCAGGCTCTGTGCTCGGCGCGGAGTCTGCTCCAGATTCTCTCCCTCCCCCTTCCCTCCACTCACATGTGTGTATGCATACGCTCTCTCTCTCTCAAATAAATTTTTTTTAAAAAAGGATATGCAATCCAGTTTATAAATCCTACTTGTGGCACCCCCCCCCCACAGTTTGCCATACCACAGTGTTATGGCAGTGTTGAGTAACTCATTCCTTTGGAAATTTATTTTTATTTTTTAGCATTTACACTGTGCCAGGCACCATTGTCACTGAGGACATGTTAATGAACAAAACAGGCAAAGTCATGGCCTTTATGGAGCATATGGTTTAGTGAAGGTGACTGAGTAAAATAAGTACATAATAGAAGGTCAGTTAAGTGCTATGGAGAAATAAGAAGGCAAGTACATAGCTTGTAATGGAGGAGCTATTTTGTTTTTCAATTATTTACTTATTTGACAGAGAGAGAGAGCACAAGCAGGGCAGCAGCAGGCAGAGGGAGAAGCAGGCTCCAGGCTGAGCAGGAAGCCAGACAAGGGCCTCAGTCCCAGAACCCTGGGATCACGATCTGAGCCAAAGGCAGATGCTTAACTCACTGAGCCATCCAGGCACCGCTGGAGGGGCTATTTTAGTATGGGTTTTTAAGGACAGCTGTTCTGAGCAGATGTAATTTGGACTAAGACCCAAGTATACTGAGGGTAACCAGCAAGCATAATACTTGTAAGCCGGGAACACTCCAGACCTGTTTCTAAGTATTTTCTCTGGGCTTCTTGCCTCAATATTCTCTGAGAAGTTAGTAAAACATGCAAATTGTTAAGTCAAACCCCAGACCTCCTAAACCAGAACCTCTAGTCTTGGGCCCAAGACCCTATATTTGTAAAATGATCTTTGTGATCTATACTTAAATTTTAACATCTTTGCCCTAAATCCCGGATTAGTGCACCTGTTACCACCACACTGTAACAGGATGGATTCCGGGTGGACACTCTCTACAGTAAAGAATCAGATATGAGTGTTCTACCAACCAGGCCCTCGGTCCCCTCCACTTCTTACCCTTTTGCGGAGCTACACATACTGCCATGGCAAGGTGAGATCAGCTCATTCCTGAAATCGATCAGGCAGGGTCCCAGAATGGGCTGCCCAGGCTACCCTGAGCTCTCTGGACCAGAGGCCGAACTCACTTTTCGGAGCTTGACATCCCAGGTGAATGGGGTGACCCATTTAATCCCTGAAGAGAATAAAATACTCTTACAATTAAGAAATTATACAGACAATATGGGGCGCCTGGGTGGCTCAGTGGGTTAAGCCGCTGCCTTCGGCTCAGGTCATGATCTCAGAGTCCTGGGATTGAGTCCTGCATCGGGCTCTCTGCTCAGCAGGGAGCCTGCTTCCCTCTCTCTCTCTCTGCCTGCCTCTCCATCTACTTGTGATCTCTGTCAAATAAATAAATAAATAATCTTAAAAAAAAAGAAATTATACAGACAATAAATTCTTAATATATGGAAATTAGAAAACATGGGGTGCTTGGCTGGCTCAATTGGTAAAGCATACCACTCTTGATCTCAGGGTCATGAAATGGGCATGTTGGGCATGGAGCCTACTTAAAATTTTATTTTATTTTTAAATTTTTTAAAAACATTTTATTTATGACACAGAGAGATAGCAAGAGAGGGAACACAAGCACGGGGGAGCTGGAGAGGGAGAAGCAGGCTCCCCGCTGAGCAGGGAGCCAGATATGGGGCTGGATCCCAGGACACTCAGCAGAAGGCAGGCACTTAATGACTGAGCCACGCAGGTGCCCCATACTTAAAATTTTAAAGAAGTTTTTAAAAGATTTTATTTATTTATTTGACAGAGATCACAAGTAGGCAGAGAGGTAGGCAGAGAGAGGAAGGGAAGCAGGCTTCCCACTGAGCAGAGAGTCTGATGCGGTGCTTGATCCCAGAACCCTGGGATCATGACCTGAGTCGAAGGCAGAGGCTTTAACCCACTGAGCCACCCAGGCGCCCCTAAAATTTTAAAGAAGTTTTTTAAAAAATTAGAAAACATGTATAAACCATTGAAGAAATTTTAAATCACCCATAATTATACCTGAGTCTAGCATTGTTTACAACATATTCTCCCCAAATTTTCAGACATATGTAAGTATATTTCTTTCATGAAAGAAAACTGAGGCTAGTTTTTTAATATTTATAATGTTATGAGCATCTACATCAATAAATACTCTAAAACTTCTAAAATTGACATTTTTATAATAAAGTACGGAATTATGACACAAAGATATGTAAACAATGGAGAATTGCAAAAATTGGGAATGTGAAAACTTCTGACATACACTTAAGTACAAAGCCAGAAGTAATCCAAACTAAATGTTTACTTAACCACAAATAAACAGGCAAATGCTTACAATTTGTTCCTGTAATGGGGGTCATAAGATTTATATTATTCTGAAGATGTGTTTTTTTCTTCTTGAGAATACAGTTATCTTTCCTTATTTATACTGACAGTTTTAGTATATTCTTTCCAGTTGCTATGTACTGTTTGGCTCAGGGCAGTTCCATAATTTACCAAAGTAATTGTCTATCATCGTACATTTAGATTTTTTCCTTTTTTTTTTTTTTTTAAGATTTTATTTATTTGACAGAGAGAGAGGTCACAAGTAGCAGAGAGGCAGGCAGAGAGAGAGGAGGGGAAGCAGGCTCCCTGCCAAGCAGAGAGCCCGATGCAGGGCTGGATCCCAGGACTCTGGGATCATGACCTGAGCGGAAAGCAGAGGCTTAACCCACTGAGCCACCCAGGTGCCCTAGATTTTTTTCCTTTTTAATTGCAAAAGCCAACGTCGTTAATATTAAGAAAATGGGGGGGGGGGCACCTGCGTCGCGTCGGGTAAGTGTCTGCCTGCCGCTCCTGGTCATGATCCCAGCATCTTGGGATCCAGGACCCCAGTCAGGCTCCCTGCTCAGTGGAGATCCTGCTTCTCCCTCTCCCTCTGCCTGCCGCTCTGCCTGCCGCTTTGCCTGCTTCTGCTCGTCAAATGAATGAATGAATGAATGAATGAATGAATGAATGAATAAGAATCCTTAGGGGTGCCTGGGTGGTTCAGTGGGTTAAGTCTCTGCCTTCGGCTCAGGTCATGATCTAAGAGTCCTTTGGATTGAGCCGCTCTCTGCTCAGCGGGGAGCCTGCTTCCCCTTCTCTCTGCCTACTTGTGATCTCTCTGTCAAATAAATAAATACAATCTTAAAAAAAAAAAAAACTTAAAAAAAATTTTTTTACTAAGTAAACTGTTGCAATTAATATTTCTAGGTCAGAGAATGAAAAATGTAAATTGATTCAGGTTGCCTTCTAAAAAGGGAGTAACTAAATCCCCTACGATTAAACCTCCCACGCCTAAATAATAATAAAAAGCTTAAAGCGCGTGCTCTTAAAAATCTGGGCACTATGCAAAGTATAATAATTACATTATTTCGTAATTTCATATTCACCAATACCCCGGCGTCATCTTCATTTATTTTTGTAAGGCAAACAAACATTTGCACCTTCACTTCATCCCTTTCCTTACTGGAGGTAGTAGCTGTGTATCCACTCCCACGGGGGATTAGCATTTCTTTAGGAAGCCCACCCGCTTAGCTTCGCCGGTCAAAAGCGGTCTTCCTTCTAAACGACTAGGGCCTTACCCACCCAGTCTATACACAACCGCCCTCTCCCTAAACCTAAGACGTTAAGCGACCACTGGTTTTATCAACTCCATGACCGATGCCTCTTCAGCGACGTTGCAGCTTCTTCAAACTTTATTTCCCCAAGTCGGCCTCGGTCTGAGCCCATCCCAGCCGTACGGACACCTGCCTTCCTCTAAGATGGCCGCGTCCACGGTGCTCCCGCCTAACGACTGCGCTCGGCAGTGCGCAGAGGGCGCCGCCATCTTTCTTCCCTCGGCGGATAAACGTGCCTGGTGGCTTTGGGTAGACACCGACCTCTGAGTCTTACCCGGTTAGCACAACTCTGTTGACCATCCCTCCCAACGAGGAGGTAAAAACACTGAGGTGGCCCGTAATGATTTCGATCTCCCCGCACAGCCGCTATGCCCCCTCCCATCAGACGCGCCGGGGTGGGCGTGGCCGTTACATCATAGAGCCGGGCCAGTCCTTGGAGGTCCGAAGTCCCGTAGCGCTCCCAGGTCCTCGCGGGAGTCGCCGGCCGGGGAGGACCCGAGTCCCTAGGTACCGCGAGGAAGGGCACACGGAGAGGGGTGGCTTTGGAAGTGAGTGGCCTTTCGTCGCTGCCAGCAGCGTCTGTAGCGGTTCGGGTTCAGGTGAGTCGGGTTCTGGGCTTAGCTCTCGGCCTGTGGGGTCCGTGAAACGGGAGCGTGTGTGAAGAACCGCGGCTGGGATTTTACTGGGATTCAGTCCCTGAGGAATGAGGGGAGTGATGGGGCCTTTGGGAAGTCGGTGCGTAAGAGTCTGAAGATGTCTCGGCGGAAGCGGCCGACTGTGTTAGGGTTTGAGGTCCACGTGGATCTCTCTGTCTGTGGGACTCGGTGGTTGAGAAGTGGGGTGCGGAGTATGTCCGTGAACGCTTGTCTCGTCCGGCTTCCGCGTCGGAGAAGCCTGGGTTGGAGATGTCCCTATTGGCTCCTTGGGCTTGCTTGTGGGTTAGTAGGGCCTTTGATACAGGACCCCCTCCTGGAGACGCCCGGTGGGGCTGTCAGTGTTTGAGGAGGCCCAGGGCCCCCAGAGAATCGGAAGGTTCAGGATCAAACCATCAATGCCGGAGACAGACCTGAAACGTGCATTTTCTCCAGTTAATCCGAACCCAGCTCGCTACTTCAGTCCGTCCTCGTGGACCTTACTGAAAAGTTCGTCTCCCAACATCACCGCTCTTCTCACTTTCCCACAAGATTAAATGGGTTCGGAGTGAGCTCGTGATATATTGACTATTCAAGATGTAGCTTTTGTTTTTCTTGCCTTCAAGTTCACGGCACTTTTGGATATTTCCTTTTAGAGTCATTCTAAGTAAAAGCGTCTCTTTTACCCTCTCTTCTGTTCCGTAGTGAAAACCTTATTTTTCCCTCCTACATTTAGGATCATCTGTATAAACACAAAGAAAAATTAATTGTATCATGTAATTGCTCATCCTCAACATATTTGCATAGGAGATGATATTTATACATTCTTAAATCACTGCAGTGAGTATCAACAGGGTTGGTGAGCCAATGCCATGGTGTCTGAGTGAAACATTAATATAATAACTATATTCAAAAGTATTCAATTATAATTTTAGTAGTTTTACTGAGGTTTAATTTACATACCATAAAATTCACCAGGCGTAAGTATTTACATTTTGGTGATTTTTTTTTTTTTGAGGATTTTATTTATTTATTTGTCAGTACAATCAGGGGTAGCTGCAGGCACAGGGAGAAGCAGGCTCCCCTCTGAGCAGGGAGCCCTATGTGGGACTCAATCCCAGGACCCCAGCATCAAGACCTGAGCCAAAGGCAGACGCTTAATCCACTGAGCCACCCAGGCACCCCTACATTTCAGTGATTTTAACTGAGTTTCTAGAGTTGTGCAACCATGAGTACAATCCAGTTTCAAGACAATCCAACTTTAAAACATTTCTGTCACCCAAAAAAGTTTTCTTAGTCCTCTATACACTCCGTCTCCACTCCTACCCTCAGCCACACACCACCGATTACCTTCTAGAGTCTATTAATTTGCAGTTTCTAGGCATTTCATAGAAACAATCATATATGTAGTCTTTTGTTGTTGCCTTTTTTTCATTAGCATTATATTTTGGTCTACATTATAATTATCACTGGCTTTTCCCCTTTTTCAAAGTGATTTGTTGAGGTAAAATTGACATACAATAAGCTACAGGTCAGTAATTGGTAAATTTGACATATATACTCATGAAAGTGTCGCCACCATGAAAATCATGAACATACCCCTCACCACCGAATTTTCTTTGTGCCCCCCCCCTTTTAAAAGATTTTATTTATTTGACAGACAGAGATCACAAGTAGGCAGAGAGGCAGGCAGAGAGAGGAGGAAGCAGGCTCTGCTGAGCAGAGAGCCTGATAACGGGGCTCGATCCCAGGACACTGGGATCATGACCTGAGCTGAAGGCAGAGGCTTTAACCCACTGAGCCACCCAGGCCCCCCTTTGTGCCCCTTTTTAATCCATCCCTCTCATCTTTCCCCAAGCAACCACTGATCTATTTCTCATCACTACAGGCTAGTTTATATTTTCTTAAGTTTCATTGAAATGGACTCCTACAGGATGTACTCATTTTTTTTTTTTTTTCCTAGCAAAGTATTTTATTTTAATTTTATTTATTTATTTATTTGACAGAGGGAGAGATAGTGAGAGAGGGAATACAAGCAGGGGGAGTGGGAGAGGGAGAAGCAGGCTTCCCTCTGAGCCGGGAGCACAGATGCCAGGCTCAATCCCATGACTTGAGCCAAGGGCAGCTACTTAACGACTGAGCCATCCAGGTACCCCACAAATTTTTTTTTTTTTTTTTATAAACATATATTTATTTTTTCCCCAGGGGTACAGGTCTGTGAATCTCCAGGTTTACACACTTCACAGCACCCACCATAGCACATACCTTCCCCAATGTCCATAACCCCACCCCCCCTCTCCCAACCCCCCTCCCCCCAGCAACCCTCAGTTTGTTTTGTGAGATTAAGAGTCACTTATGGTTTGTCTCCCTCCCAATCCCAACTTGTTTCATTTACTCTTCTCCTACCCCATTAACCCCCCATGTTGCATCTCCTCTCCCTCATATCAGGGAGATCATATGATAGTTGTCTTTCTCTGATTGACTTATTTCGCTAAGCATGATACCCTCTAGTTCCATCCACGTCGTCGCAAATGGCAAGATTTCATTTCTTTTGATGGCTGCATAGTATTCCATTGTGTATATATACCACATCTTCTTTATCCATTCGTCTGTTGATGGACATCTAGGTTCTTTCCATAGTTTGGCTATTGTAGACATTGCTGCTATAAACATTCGGGTGCATGTGCCCCTTCGGATCACTACATTTGTATCTTTAGGGTAAATACCCAGCAGTGCAATTGCTGGGTCATAGGGTAGTTCTATTTTCAACATTTTGAGGAACCTCCATGCTGTTTTCCAGAGTGGTTGCACCAGCTTGCATTCCCACCAACAGTGTAGGAGGGTTCCCTTTTCTCCGCATCCTCGCCAGCATCTGTCATTTCCGGACTTGTTAATTTTAGCCATTCTGACTGGTGTGAGGTGGTATCTCATTGTGGTTTTGATTTGTATTTCCCTGATGCCGAGTGATATGGAGCACTTTTTCATGTGTCTGTTGGCCATCTGGATGTCTTCTTTGCAGAAATGTCTATTCATGTCTTCTGCCCATTTCTTGATTGGATTATTTGTTCTTTGGGTGTTGAGTTTGCTAAGTTCTTTATAGATTCTGGACACCAACCCTTTATCTGATATGTCATTTGCAAATATCTTCTCCCATTCTGTCAGTTGTCTTTTGGTTTTGTTAACTGTTTCCTTTGCTGTGCAAAAGCTTTTGATCTTGATAAAATCCCAATAGTTCATTTTTGCCCTTGCTTCCCTTGCCTTTGGCGATGTTCCTACGAAGATGTTGCTGCGGCTGAGGTCAAAGAGGTTGCTGCCTGTGTTCTCCTCAAGGATTTTGATGGATTCCTTTCTCACATTGAGGTCCTTCATCCATTTTGAGTCTATTTTCGTATGTGGTGTAAGGAAATGATCCAATTTCATTTTTCTGCATGTGGCTATCCAATTTTCCCAACACCATTTATTGAAGAGGCTGTCTTTTTTCCATTGGACATTCTTTCCTGCTTTGTCGAAGATTAGTTGACCATAGAGTTGAGGGTCTATTTCTGGGCTCTCTATTCTGTTCCATTGGTCTATGTGTCTGTTTTTGTGCCAGTACCATGCTGTCTTGATGATGACAGCTTTGTAATAGAGCTTGAAGTCCGGAATTGTGATGCCACCAACTTTGGCTTTCTTTTTCAATATTCCTTTGGCTATTCGCGGTCTTTTCTGGTTCCATATAAATTTTAGGATTATTTGTTCCATTTCTTTGAAAAAAATGGATGGTACTTTGATAGGAATTGCATTAAATGTGTAGATTGCTTTAGGTAGCATAGACATTTTCACAATATTTATTCTTCCAATCCAGGAGCATGGAACATTTTTCCATTTCTTTGTGTCTTCCTCAATTTCTTTCATGAGTACTTTATAGTTTTCTGTGTATAGATTCTTAGTCTCTTTGGTTAGGTTTATTCCCAGGTATCTTATAGTTTTGGGTGCAATTGTAAATGGGATGGACTCCTTAATTTCTCTTTCTTCTGTCTTGTTGTTGGTGTAGAGAAATGCGACTGATTTCTGTGCATTGATTTTATATCCTGAAACTTTACTGAATTCCTGTACAAGTTCTAGCAGTTTTGGAGTGGAGTCTTTTGGGTTTTCCACATAGAGTATCATATCATCTGCGAAGAGTGATAGTTTGACTTCTTCTTTGCCGATTTGGATGCCTTTAATTTCCTTTTGTTGTCTGATTGCTGAGGCTAGGACTTCTAGTACTATGTTGAATAGCAGTGGTGATAACGGACATCCCTGCCGTGTTCCTGACCTTAGCGGAAAAGCTTTCAGTTTTTCTCCATTGAGAATGATATTTGCGGTGGGTTTTTCATAGATGGCTTTGATAATATTGAGGTATGTGCCCTCTATCCCTACACTTTGAAGAGTTTTGATCAGGAAGGGATGCTGTACTTTGTCAAATGCTTTTTCAGCATCTATTGAGAGTATCATATGGTTCCTGTTCTTTCTTTTATTAATGTGTTTTATCACATTGATTGATTTGCGGATGTTGAACCAACCTTGCAGCCCTGGAATAAATCCCACTTGGTCATGGTGAATAATCCTTTTAATGTACTGTTGAATCCTATTGGCTAGTATTTTGGTGAGAATTTTTGCATCTGTGTTCATCAAGGATATTGGTCTGTAGTTCTCTTTTTTGATGGGATCCTTTTCTGGTTTGGGGATCAAGGTGATGCTGGCCTCATAAAATGAGTTTGGAAGTTTTCCTTCCATTTCTATTTTTTGGAACAGTCTCAGGAGAATAGGAATTAGTTCTTCTTTAAATGTTTGGTAGAATTCCCCTGGGAAGCCATCTGGCCCTGGGCTTTTGTTTGTTTGGAGATTTTTGATGACTGTTTCAATCTCCTTACTGGTTATGGGTCTGTTCAGGCTTTCTGTTTCTTCCTGGTTCAGTTGTGGTAGTTTATTTGTCTCTAGGAATGCATCCATTTCTTCCAGATTGTCAAATTTGTTGGCATAGAGTTGCTCATAATATGTTCTTATAATTGTCTGTATTTCTTTGGTGTTAGTTGTGATCTCTCCTCTTTCATTCATGATTTTATTTATTTGGGTCCTTTCTCTTTTCTTTTTGATAAGTCTGGCCAGGGGTTTATCAATCTTATTAATTCTTTCAAAGAACCAGCTCCTAGTTTCGTTGATTTTTTCTATTGTTTTTTTGGTTTCTATTTCATTGATTTCTGCTCTGATCTTTATGATTTCTCTTCTCCTGCTGGGTTTAGGGTTTCTTTCTTGTTCTTTCTCCAGCTCCTTTAGGTGTAGGGTTAGGTTGTGTACCTGAGACCTTTCTTGTTTCTTGAGAAAGGCTTGTACCGCTATATATTTTCCTCTCAGGACTGCCTTTGTTGTGTCCCACAGATTTTGAACTGCTGTATTTTCATTATCATTTGTTTCCATGAATTTTTTCAATTCTTCTTTAATTTCCTGGTTGACCCATTCATTCTTTAGAAGGATGCTGTTTAGTCGCCATGTATTTGGGTTCTTTCCAAATTTCCTCTTGTGATTGAGTTCTAGCTTCAGGGCATTGTGGTCTGAAAATATGCAGGGAATGATCCCAATCTTTTGATACCGGTTGAGACCTGATTTAGAACCAAGGATGTGATCTATTCTGGAGAATGTTCCATGTGCACTAGAGAAGAATGTGTATTCTGTTGCTTTGGGATGAAATGTTCTGAATATATCTGTGATGTCCATCTGGTCCAGTGTGTCATTTAAGGCCTTTATTTCCTTGTTGATCTTTTGCTTGGATGATCTGTCCATTTCAGTGAGGGGAGTGTTAAAGTCCCCTACTATTATTGTATGATTGTCGATGTGTTTCTTTGATTTTGTTATTAATTGGTTTATATAGTTGGCTGCTCCCACGTTAGGGGCATAGATATTTACAATTGTTAGATCTTCTTGTTGGACAGATCCTTTGAGTATAATATAGTGTCCTTCTTCATCTCTTATTATAGTCTTTGGTTTAAAATCTAAGTGATCTGATATAAGGATTGCCACTCCTGCTTTCTTCTGATGTCCATTAGCATGGTAAATTCTTTTCCACCCCCTCACTTTAAATCTGGAGGTGTCTACGGGTTTAAAATGAGTTTCTTGTAGGCAACATATAGATGGGTTTTGTTTTTTTATCCATTCTGATACCCTGTGTCTTTTGATTGGGGCATTTAGCCCATTAACATTCAGGGTAACTATTGAGAGATATGAATTTAGTGCCATTGTATTGCCTGTAAGGTGACTGTTATTGTATATTGTTTCTGTTCCTTTCTGATCTACTACTTTTAGGCTCTCTCTTTGCTTAGAGGACCCCTTTCAATATTTCCTGTAGAGCTGGTTTGGTGTTTGCAAATTCTTTCAGTTTTTGTTTGTCCTGGAAGCTTTTAATCTCTCCTTCTATTTTCAATGATAGCCTAGCTGGATATAGTATTCTTGGCTGCATGTTTTTCTCGTTTAGTACTCTGAATATATCATGCCAGCTCTTTCTGGCCTGCCAGGTCTCTGTGGATAAGTCTGCTGCCAATCTAATATTTTTACCATTGTATGTTACAGACTTCTTCTCCCGGGCTGCTTTCAGGATTTTCTCTTTGTCACTAAGACTTGTAAATTTGACTATTAGGTGACGGGGTGTGGACCTATTCTTATTGATTTTGAGGGGGGTTCTCTGAACCTCCTGGATTTTGATGCTTGTTCCCTTTGCCATATTGGGGAAATTCTCTCCAATAATTCTCTCCAATATACCTTCTGCTCCCCTCTCTCTTTCTTCTTCTTCTGGAATCCCAATTATTCTAATGTTGTTTCGTCTTATGGTGTCACTTATCTCTCGAATTCTGCCCTCGTGGTCCAGTAGCTGTTTGTCCCTCTTTTGTTCAGCTTCTTTATTCTCTGTCATTTGGTCTTCTATATCGCTAATTCTTTCTTCTGCCTCATTTATCCTAGCAGTGAGAGCCTCCATTTTTGATTGCACCTCATTAATAGCTTTTTTGATTTCAACTTGATTAGATTTTAGTTCTTTTATTTCTCCAGAAAGGGCTTTTATATCTCCCGAGAGTGTTTCTCTAATATCTTCCATGCCTTTTTCGAGCCCAGCTAGGACCTTGAGAATCGTCATTCTGAACTCTAGATCTGACATATTACCAATGTCTGTATTGATTAGGTCCCTAGCCTTTGGTACTGCCTCTTGTTCTTTTTTTTGTGGTGAATTTTTCCGCCTTGTCATTTTGTCCAGATAAGAGTATATGAAGGAGTAAATAAAATACTGAAAGGGTGGCAACAACCCCAGGAAACTATGCTTTAGCCAAATCAGAAGAGATCCCAAATCTTGAGGGGGCGGGGGAAGGGGATAAAAAGAGGTTCAGAAAGGAAAAAAAAAAAAGAAAAGAAAAAAAAAGAAACAAATAAAAAAAGAAAACCAATAATGAAAAAAATATAAAAAGGAAAAATATATATATATATTAGATAAACTAGTTAAAAAACTTTAAAAAAGAAAAGGGTAAAAGTTAAAAAAAAATTAGCAGAAGAAGAGAAAAAAAATTGAAAAAAAAAAATTAAATTAACTGCAAGACTAAAGAATCATGGGGAGAAAGCCATGAGTTCCGTGCTTTGCTTTCTCCTCCTCTGGAATTCCGCGGCTCTCCTTGGTATTGAAACTGTACTCCTCGTAAGTGAACTTGGTCCTGGCTGGGTTTCTTGTTGATCTTCTGGGGGAGGGGCCTGTTGTAGTGACTCTCGAGTGTCTTTGCCCCAGGCGGAGTTGCACCTCCCTTACCAGGGGCCGGGCTGAGTAATCCGCTCGGGTTTGCTTTCGGGAGCTTTTGTTCCCTGAGCGCTTCCCGTAGAGTCCGGAGGACGGGAATAAAGATGGCGGCCGCCCAGTCTCCGGCCCAGAGGAGCCGAGAGCCCGGGGCCCCACTCCTCAGTGCGCCCTCAGAGAACAGCGCCCAATTACTCCCGTCTGCCTGGGCTCCGGCCGCGCTCCGAGCCAACCGAGCCTGCGACCGGTTCAAGGTAAGCCCGAGCTCTGAGCTCACTCCTCGGCTCCGTCTCTGTAGCCGGCTTCCCCGTTCTAATACCTGCAAGCTCTGCGACACTCAGACACCCCGATCCTTTCTGTGACCCTGCGGGACCTGAGGCCACACTGGCCCCGCGTGGGCTTCACCCCAGTTAAGCCTCTGGAGCAATGTCCCTCAGTGGAACAGACTTTTAAAAGTCCTGATTTTGTGCTCTGTTCCTCCACCGCTTGTCGGGAGCCGGCCCCTCCCCCCGCGGTCTATCTTCCCGTCGCTTTGGATTTACTTCTCCGCCGGTCCTACCTTTCAGAAAGTGGTTGATTTTCTGTTTCTTGAATTGCTGTTCTTCTTCTCTTCGGTCTCCTGTTGGATTTGTAGGTGTTTGCAATCTTTAGGTAAGCTATCTAGCTGATCTCCCGCAACCTGAAGTAGTCTCAGCTGCTACTTCTCCGCCATTTTGACTCCTCCGGATGTACTCATTTTTATTATGATTTGATTCACTCAGCATTCGTATTTTCAAGATAACATTCTTTTTTTTTTTAAGATTTTATTTATTTATTTGACAGATAGAGATCGCAAGTAGGCAGAGAGGCAGGCAGAGAGAGAGAGAGGAAGAAGCAGGCTCCCCGCTGAGCAGAGAGCCCGATGCGGGGCTTGATCCCAGCACCCTGGGACCATGACCCAAGCCAAAGGCAGAGGCCTCAACCCACTGAGCCACCCAGGCGCCCCTCAAGATAACATTCTTGTGTGCATCAGTAGTTCCTTTCTTTTCCTTTTTGTTGCTTTGTGTTCCATGTTGCTTTATCCGTTCATTCTGTATAGTTTATTAATTCACCTGTTAATGGGCGATTGTTTTTCCAATTTTTAGCTCTTACAAATAAAGCTTCTATGAACACTCATGTTCAAGTCTATGTTTATATCTTTTTCTTTCTCTTGGGTAAATCTCTAGGAGTTGAATGGCTAAATCATAGGGTAAGTGTATGTTTAACTTCTTTAGAAATGGCTAAACTGTTTCCCCAGATGGCTGTACTTTGTATTCCCAAGAGAAGTGGATAATTGTTCTGTCTCCTTGTTTTTGCTGACACTTTCATTTGGCATTCTTTTTGATTTTAGGTATTCTGATGGGTGTGGAGCAGTACCTTTTTTTTTTTTTTAATTTTTATTATTTTATTTTTTAATTTTTATTTTTATTGTTATTTTATTTATTTTTATTATTATTATTTTTTACCTTGTGGTTTTCATTTGTATTTACCTAATAATGACTAATGATGGTAGTTAAACATCTTTTCATATGCTTATTTGGCATCCATATATCTTCCTTGGTGACGTACTTGTTCAAGTCTTTTACACTTCTGTGTTGTCTTTTCTTGTTAATTTTTGAGAATTCATTCTATATTCTGGATACAAGACTTTCCTTTACCAGTTATATGCTTTGCAAAGATTTTCTCCTAGTCTTTGACTTGCCTTCCAACATTCTCTTAACAGTATGTTTTGGAGAGCAGAAGGATTTAGTTTTTATGAAGTCCAACACATGAACTTTTCTTAATGAATTATTCTTTTGATGTTGTGCCTAAGAAATCTGCTTTACTGCAAGAGCAGAGGATTTTCTCCAATTTTTTCTTCTCAAAGGTTTAGGGTGTTCTGGGTTTTGTTTTGTTTTTTTTTTTAGGTTTTTCACTTAACGTTTGTTTTTTATTTTGAGCAAGATATATGATCCAGGGGCGCCTGGATGGCTCAGTGAGTTAAAGCCTCTGCCTTCGGCTCAGGTCATGATCCCAGGGTCCTGGGATCGAGCCCCGCATCGGGCTCTCTGCTCAGCGGGGAGCCTGCTTCTTTCTCTCTCTCTCTGCCTGCCTCTCTGCCTACTTGTGGTCTCTGCCTGTCAAATAAATAAATAAAATCTTTAAAAAAAAAAGATATATGATCCAATGTATGGATCCAAGTTCTTTTTTTTTTTTTTGGTATAGCGTATCTACTTGTTCCATCAACATTTGTTGAAAGGTTGTCCTTTCTCCACTGTATTGCCTTTACAAAACCTTTGTAAAATGTCAGTTGACTGTATATGTGTGGGTCTTATTCTGTACTCTATTCTATTCATTCATCTGTTCTGACATGAATATTACCCTGTCTTGATTACTGTAGTTTTGATAAAAATTTTTGTAGTCAGGTGGTGCAGACTCACCAATAAAGTCTTATTTATTTTAGAGAGTAGGGGGAGGGGCAAAGGGAGAGGGAGTGCGCGTATCTGAAGCAGACTCCAAGCTGAGTGTGGAGCACGACACCGGACGTGATCCTAGGACTCAGAGTTCACAATCTGAGCTGGAACCAAGAATTGGTAAACCAACTGAGCCACCCATGCACCCAGTCCTGTTCTTTTTTTACAGTTGTTTTAGCTATTCTAGACCTTTTGCATTTGTATGTGAATTTTAAGAATCAGGTTGTCAGTTTATATAGAAAAGCCTCATGGGATTATGATTGAGATTTGTGACTCTAGGCCAATTCTGGAGAATGGTCTGTTTGGTTCATTTAAAAAAAAATGGACCATTTTCTGACATGGACAAAGTGTATCTTTCCATTTATTTAAGTTGTCACAATTTCTCTGATACAGTTTTCTTTTCTTTTTCTTTTAAAGATCTTATTTATTTATCTGACAGACAGAGATCACAAGTAGTCAGAGAGGCAGGCAGAGAGAAAAGGGGAAGCAGGCTCCCTGCTGAGCAGAGAGCCCGATGCGGGGCCTCGATCCCAGGGATCATGACCTGAGCTGAAGGCAGAGGCTTTAACCCACTGAGCCACCCAGGCTCCCCCTCTGATACAGTTTTCAAAAGGTGTTTTAAATTTTTGGTAATCTTTTTCCCTGAGTATTTCACATTTTTAAAATCATTTTTACCTTTTTTAAAAAATCATCATTTTATTTGCTTATTTATCTTCTTTGTTTCAAGTTTTTATTTAGATTCTGGTTTAGTTAACATATAGTATAATATTGGTTTCAGGGGTAGAATTTAGTGATTCATCACTTACATATTAACATCTAGTGCTCATTACAACAAGTGCCCTCCTTAATGCCTGTCACTCATTGAGCCCATCTCCCACTCCCCCCATCAACCCTCAGTTTGTTCTCTATAGTTAAAAGCGTCTCTTATGGTTTGTCTCCCTCTCTTCCCCCCCTTCCCCTATGTTAATTTTTGTTTGTTTCTTAAATTACACGTGAGTGAAACCCTATGGCATTTGTCTTTCTTTGACTTGTTTCACTTAGCATAATATACTCTAGCTCCATCCATGTCATTGCAAAAGGCAAGATTTCATTTCTTTTTGATGGCTGAGTAAGACTCCATTGTATATACGTATATATATATACCACACTTTTATCCACTCATCAGTTGATGGACATTTGGGCTTTTCCCATTATTTGGCTATTTTTGATACCACTGCTATTAACATTGGGGTGCATGTGTCCCTTCGAATCAGTATTTTTGTATCCTTTGGGTAAATACCTAGTAGTGCCATTGCTAGGTTGTAGGGTGGTTCTGTTTTTAACTTTTTGAGGGACCTCCAAACTATTTTCCCGAGGGGCTACACCAGCTTGCATTCCCACAACAGTGTAAGAGAGTTCCCTTTTCTCTGCTTCCTTGCCAACATGTGTGGTTACCTGTGTTGTTAATTTTTGTCCTTCTAACAGTTGTGAGGTAATATGTCATTGTGCTTTTGATTTGTATTTCCCTGACGATGAGTGCTTTTGAGCATCTTTTCATGTGTCTGTTAGTCATTTGTAGGTCTTCTTTGGAAAAATGTCTACTTGTGTCTTCTGCCCATTTCTTAACTGGATTATTTGGTTGGGTTTTTTTGTTTGTTTGTTTGTTTGTTTTGTTTTGTTTTATTTTGTTTTTTTTGGTGTTGAGTTTGGTAAGTTCTTTATAGATTTTTGGACACTAACCCTTTATCAGATATGTCATTTGCAAATATCTTCTCCCATTTCATAGGTTGCTTTTTAGTTTTTGTTGATTGTTTCCTTTGCTGGGTAGAAGCTTTTTATCTTGATGAAGTCCCAAGTTCATTTTTGCTTTTGTTTCCCTTGCCTCTAGAGACATGTCTAGTAAGAAGTTGCTATGGCCAATGTTAGAGGTTGTTGCCTATGTTCTCCTCTAGGATTTTGATGTGAGACAGGGATCAGTTATCTTTCTTTCCTGATTGTATTTGAGTCCTCTCTCTTTCTTCGTCAGTCTAACTAAAAGTTTGTCAGTTTTTTATCTTTCCAAGAAAGGCAGCTTGTATTTTCATTGATCTTTTGTCTTTTTAGTCTCCATTGGATTTATTTCCACATTCCATTTTGTTATTTCCTTATATTTACTGATTTGGGGCTTTGCTTGTCCCCCCCCCACACACACTTATTTCCCATGTAAAATTAGGTTGTTTATTAGAGAGCTTTCAGGTGGATTGACAAGGATTGACAAGGACCTGAATTTCTATGAACTTCTCCCCTAGAGCCACTTTTGCTCCATCCCACAACTTTTCATTTGTCTCAAGGTACTTTGAAAATTTCTTTTGATTTCTTCTTTGGCCCTTGGTTGTTTACTAGCATGTTAAATCTCCGCATATTTTTGACTGTCCCACTTTCTTTTTGTGACGAATTTCTACTTTCATACCATTGTGGTTGGACAAGATTTGGACCAGAGGGTGAAGGGAGCATTCAGATTAAAGGTTAGTTTCCTGGGGTATTTTCTGAGGGCAGACCACAAGTTCCATGGGGACAGAGGAAGGTTTTGTGAGTCTGGTGGGGATGGTCAACCCGTGTTAGAATTACTGACTACTACCATGCAGGCTGTGTACCACCATTCACACTGTAGTCCTGATGGACTTGTACTCCATTCAGAACATTTTCTAGGAGGTGCAGGGTTGGCCTTCTCTAACAGAAAGTTGCCATGTGGGTTCATCACATGGCTTGAGGTCAGCAACCAGGATGTATGGTAAATTGGGGATTCAGAATCTGACTTTCTGTTGGAAGTGATAGAAATGGGACATGAGGAGTTTCATGATAGTAGCCGAGGTCCCGAGTGACCCACTGGGTGTTGGTGGTAGTTTGGGTAGTGGGGCTGAATAAATAAATAAAATCTTAAAAAAAAAAAAAAAAAAAAAAAAGCTGCCAAACTATTTTCTAAAGTGGTTGTATCATTTTGCATTCCCAACAGCAATAAATGAGAGTTCCTTTTGCTCCATATCCTTGCCAGCATTTGGTGTTATTGGTGTTTTGAATTTTGGCTGTTCTAACAGGTGTGTAATGGTATCTCAGAGTTGTTTTAATTTGTAATTCTCTAATTATATATGATGTTGAGCAGCCTTTCATATGCTTATTTGCTATCTGTGTATCTTCCTTGGTAAGATGTCTCTTTGGGGCTTTTGCCCATTTTTTAAAAATTGGGTTGTCTTTTCTTATTGTTGAGTTTTAGGAGTTCTTTGTATATTTCAGATAACAGTCCTTTATCAGATATGTCTTTTGCAAATATTTTATCTAGTCTGTAGCTTATCTTCTCATTCTCTTGAGATAGTTTATATTTCTAGCTGTTACATTGAAATTTATCATCTCTCTTTTTTTTTTTAATATTTTATTTATTTATTTGACAGAGATCACAAGTAGACAGAGAGGCAGGCAGAGAGAGAGAGAGAGGGAAGCAGGCTCCCCGCCGAGCAGAGAGCCCGATGCGGGACTCGGTCCCAGGACCCTGAGATCATGACCTGAGCCGAAGGCAGCGGCTTAACCCACTGAGCCACCCAGGCGCCCCTCATCTATCTTTTTTTTGAGACACAGAGGGCACTTAAGTATGTGAGGGGTGGGAGGAGGACAAAGGGAGAGGGAGAGAGAGTCTTAAGTGGGCTCCACACTCAGCCTGGAGCCCCATGCAGGACTTCATCTCTTGACTCTGAGATCACAGCCTGAGCTGAAATTAATTGTTGGACGCTTAACTGACTGAGCTACCCAGCCAACCAAACTGGCATTCCTGGGCTAAGTCCCGCTTAGTCACTGTCTGTAACCTAGGGGTTATATTATTATAACCTAGGTTTATATTATCCTAGATTTTTTTGCTAATATGTGTTTCTTCCCTTTAAATTCTTGTTTATTGACATACAGTTCAATATGGGTTTTGGGAGTAGAGTTCAACGATTCATCCTTTACATATACACCAGTGCTCATCATAACAAGTGCCCTCCTTGATACCATCACGTGTCTATCCCATCCCCCACCCACCTTCCTCCATCAACTCTGTTTTTTCTCTGTAGTTAAGAGGCTCTCATGATTTGTTTCCCTCTGTTCTCCCCCCGCCCATGTGTTCATCCATTTTGTTTTCTTAGATTCCACATATGAAAGAAATCATACTTTATTTGTCTTTCTCTTATTTCGCTTATTGTTTTGGTAATATGTTAATGATTTTTCACGTATTTCATGAAAGAGATTGGTCTGTAATTTTCCTCTCCTGTGTTGCCTTTGTCTGGCTTTGGTATTTTGGTAATAGTGACACCATAGAAGGAATACATCTGGGCATAAGCATTAATTTGTGAGGTAGTTTTTTTTAAGTAGCCTCCGCGCCCAGCATGGAGCCCAAAGTAGGGCTTGATCCCTGAAATCAAGTACTGATCAGAGATCAAGGGTTGATTGCTAAACCAACTGAGCCATGCAGGTGCCCCAGGAGACAGTTTTAATTACTAATTCAATTTCTTGTTTTATGTCTGTTTGGCTTTTTTAGAACTGTTCTTCTGTCAATTCTGTTATTTGTCTCTTTCCAGGCATTTGTCCATTTCATCTAATTATTATTTAATTCATGATTACTCAGAAGTATACTAGTTAATTTCCAAATGTTTGTGTATTTCTGAATTTCATTCTGAAGCACATATCTAATTCAGTTCTGTTGTGGTTGGAAAATATATTATAAATTTATTGATATTTGTTTTAGATCTTAAATTATGGTCTTTCCTGGATAATGTTTCGTGTACCTTTGAACATAATGTATATTTTGTTGCCATTGAGTATGGCATCAAATAATTGTCAGTTGATTATATTGTTCAAGTCTTAAATATCTCTGCTGGTTTTCTGGGTTTTTTTTAAGGCTATTTATTTGAGATTGAGAGTAAGACAAGAGTGAAAGTGAGAGAAAGAGAGCACAGAGGGAGAGAGAGAGAAGCAGATTCCCCACGGAGTAGGAAGCCCGAGGTGGGGCTCGATCCCAGGACCCTGAGATCTTGATCTGAGCCAAAGGCAGATAATTAACCCACTGAGCCACCCAGGCGCCTCTGGTTTTCTGTTTGTTTGTTTGTTTGTTTGTTTAATTATTGACAGTGGAGTTTTGAAACTTTCAACTATTATTAATTAAATTTCCTATTTCTCTCTTTAATTTTGTCAGTTTTTATTTGTATTTTGTGATTCTGCCATTAGGTGTATATAGTTTAATAATTTATAGCTTCCTCGTTTACCTTTTCTATCATTATTGCCCACCAGAGAAAACTCACACAAGCTTTGGCATCAGAGTTTCTATTGGAGTTAATGAGCACTTATGACTGACTGCTTGTGTGGCTGACCTTAGTCTCCTCCAGCCCCTCCAGAGGCCCGGCTGATAGCACATGGTCCAAGGCCCTTCCCCATAAATCATTTTATTAGAATAGACTGCCCTGCATGGCCCAAGCCTCCCAGGTCAGCAGAGACACTCTTATCATTCAGGATATCCCATGGACTTAGAAGTTTCCTCCTAGAAACTAAGGGCAAAAGCCAAGCCTCTCTTGGGCAAGGTTAATCATTTAGTGCACAAAGTGGGGTAAGACAGGCTGTGATTTGCTTGGTACACCAGTCTTCATACTGAAGTGTGTATACCCATGGGGCATATAAAGACTTTCAAAGCAGGGCATGAGCATGCATGCTTTTTAAAGACACAATGTCCAGATCTTCGGAAACTTCCATATGTTCTAAATGGTTGTTACTGATAATTCACCCGCCTCTGAGGCATCATGCTTTATTGCTATTGCTTTCCCATCTCCCCTTTAATAGCCATGCGGCTTCTACTTGACAGAGGAGAGGCGCACCTCTCACTCATTTAGGACCCTGCTTTACTGCCCTAGAGTGTGAAAGCCTCGGGGGCACCAAATAGAGGCACGGTTGGAAATATCGAGGTCCTCTAAGGTAAGTGTGTAGCAGCAGTGATCACACGTAGGCCCAGAGGAAATGGACATTCAAAGTCAGTTTGCTCTTGAGCCACAGGTCCCAGGTCCCCAAGAGCAAGAGTGATCAAGTGAAGGAATGAAGGAAGAAAGAAGAGGTGCTTGGACTTGGATATCATTGCTCCTAGGGACAACTTCAAGCAGACACCGAGCTTTCTGACTCTAAGAACTTCGTGGCAGGTGCAGGAGAGATGAAAGACAGAAGAATCCATGTTACTGTTCTGTGAGCACAGAAGAAAATGACGAAGGCCCAGGTGATTTTCGTTTGTTACATTTTTCCTATGTTTTTCACAGGTTTCTGGTGACCTGAGAAAAATTAGTTCAACCTTTTAGTATAAATTGGGATAATTGGATTCTGGGGAGAAATTAACTTAGACTCTAAATTCAAAGGCAGGGCAAAGTGAAATCAGGAATATATTACTCACAGGGGTCATTCTGAAGGACTACTGTTAGAACACGGGTGTGACTGGTGGATCCTGTGGGTTACGGTAGCTGTCACTTTGAGTCTGATATCTCTAAGAGACATCATAACCAGAGAGACATGAAAAGCTGCATGATGTGCACTGACTCTGTGGGGAAGGCAGGCCAGTTTCTTGGGGGATTCAGGAGTTTATGCCACTTGGGTCTCCTGAAATTTCTTTTCTTTTCTTTTCTTTTTTTTTTTTTTAAGATTTTATTTATTTATTTGACAGAGAGAGAGATCACAAGTAAGCAGAGAGATAGGCAGGCGGGGGGGGAAGCAGGCTCCCTGCTGAGCAGTGAGCCCGATGTGGGACTCAATCCCAGGACCCTGAGATCATGACCTTAGCCGAAGGCAGCAGCTTAACCCACTGAGCCACCCAGGCGCCCTAAAAAGAAAAAAACTATATATAGTTGAGGCTGTACGGTGATTAGAATAGCCTCCCTCATGCTTCTTCCATGTTAACAAAAGTAATTCACATCATATTAAACAGGAGCGTGTTATTACAGGAATCACTGACACTGGAGGACGTGGCCGTGGACTTCACCTGGGAGGAGTGGCAGCTCCTGGGCCCCGCCCAGAAGGACCTGTACCGGGACGTGATGTTGGAGAACTACAGCAACCTGGTGTCAGTGGGTGAGGACAGCTTTCTGTGTCATTTAGATGTGCTCAGTCACTGGCCTTTCCTCTGTCCCTCAAAGACAGCTTTGCAGTCATTATGGTCTTCAGAAGAGTCCCCTCTCTTGACCCTAAACAGAGGAGTATAATCTTTTCTGTCCTGAAAGAGAGCTTTTACTTTGCATATGAGAAATTGTTTTGTCTCTAAAATGTCATGTTTTCCCGTCTCAACCTACTTTACCCCAAGTCACTGCATCTAAGTCTTTTGTCATTTCTCATGAACAGGGGGTCAGGCTACCAAACCAGATGCATTGTCCAAGCTGGAAACCAGAGGTGAACCATCGATAACAGGGGATGAAATCTGGGATAGAACCCATCTGGGTGAGTGAGTACCGTGAAGGGGAGTGGTGAAGTGATCTTCTAGTCTTTAACACAAGGTGTCACAGGTGTCTGAGGATACCTAATCAGCTCCCCCACATATTCCTTTTCCCAGATGAGAACTCTTTATCTTTTGTGGGCATTTAGCTCTAAATATGCTCCTTATCTCTTCTTGGATCTGATATTTATTTCATCTTAATCTTTATAATTTTCTTTTAAAATTGTCAACAATAAAGAGCCACCCCCACCACAATATCTTTAAAACACTTTTATTCCATACTGTCCTCGTGAGAATTTGTTACTGTCTTGTGTTCCTAGGATTCGGGGAGTTTGATAGTCACCTGCAAGAGCTCTCTCAAAACCGGAGGTTTCTGAAGAGCGCACAACAGTACGGGGAGCAGAGTGCGTTTAGACATACTGTTCATCCGAGCAAAATACATTTTGCCATAACGCAAAATCACGTGTTTGACTTATGTAGAAAAGCTTTGAACTCGAGTTTGAGTTTAGTGAACGAGAAGAGAAGATGTGAAATAAGGAAGGCTGTTGAGTTTAATGGAGAAGAGAAATCTTTTCTGCACGGTAATCATGAACATTTGTATTCTGGAATTGAATTCCCTGAAAGCACAAAACATGGCAGCACTGAAGTCCAAGACTTTAAGCATCAGAGGACTCATAGAATAGAGAAACCCCACGCGTGCATCGAAGGTGGGAAAGCCTGCATCAGGACGTCTCCGCTCATTTACCCTGAGAGCGGTCGTAGAGGAGAGAAACCCAATGGGTGTGATCCACGTGGAAAACTCGTCTTCAGAAATGTCATGTTTGCTAAACATCCGAAAACTCATACACAAGACAAAGTCTGTATCATCAGTGAATACAGAAAAGGCTCTAACGGGAAGGGCAGTCTCACTTTGCCTCAGCAAACCCAAACGGCAGAGAAATCCTACACGTGCAGTGAGTGTGGAAAAGGCTTCACCATGAAGCGCTATCTGATTGCACACCAGCGAACTCATAGTGGAGAGAAACCTTATGTGTGCAGCGAATGTGGAAAAGGCTTCACAGTGAAGAGTAACCTCATTGTGCATCAGCGAACTCATACGGGGGAGAAACCCTATATATGTACTGAATGTGGAAAAGGCTTCACCATGAAGCGCTATCTTGTTGTCCATCAGCGAACTCATACTGGAGAGAAACCCTATATATGCAATGAATGTGGAAAAGGCTTCACAGTGAAGAGTAACCTCATCGTACATCAGCGATCTCATACTGGGGAAAAATCTTACATGTGCGGCGAATGTGGAAAAGGCTTCACCACAAAGCGCACCCTCATTATACATCAGCGAACTCACACGGGAGAGAAATCTTACTTATGTAATGAATGTGGAAAAGGCTTCACCACAAAGCGCACCCTCATGATACATCAGCGGACTCACACGGGAGAGAAACCCTATGAATGCAGTGAGTGTGGGAAAGCCTTCAGCCAGAAGATATGCCTCATACAACATGAGCGGTGTCATACCGGAAAGACTCCCTTTGTGTGTACTGAGTGTGGAAAATCCTATTCTCACAAATACGGTCTCATTACCCATCAGAGAATTCACACGGGAGAGAAACCCTATGAGTGCCGTGAATGTGGAAAAGCCTTCACCACAAAGTCAGTACTTAACGTCCATCAAAGGACTCATACAGGAGAGAGACCCTATGGATGCAGCGATTGTGAGAAAGCCTTCTCCCACTTGTCAAACCTTGTTAAACATAAGAAAATGCACACAAGAGAAATGGGTAGATTCAGTCAAGTTGGAAATCCTTTTAACGCAGAATCACAGCTCATTACTTATGAGTGAATTCCTGAATCCCTATGAATGTGATGACTATGAAAATGCCTTCTTTGGCAACCAAGACTTCATTAAACATCAGTGTTTCCAGCAGATTGGAATGTAATCATGGTACTGCCGGTTTTCGGATACGTGCCCTGAGAAGGTTAAAGAACTTGTCCAGGAGGTAAATCTGGTGGCTGCGGTGAATGTGTTGTCGTGCCTTCAGTCATCCTTACCTCATATTTTCTGTCAGTGAAAACATGTTGAGAAAACTCTGATACATTCAATGTGGAGATACCTTGGGCAAAACTTTCTAGTTTCGTTATATTCTGAAAAGTATACACTCAGGCAAATTCTGTGTAGGCAGAGACTAGGAGGGCCTTCAGGGGGAAGGTAGACTTTATTATCAGGGATCATCATAAAGCATCAGTGAGCTTATTGTTCATAGAAATACGATTTTTTTAAAAAAATGTATGATGATCATGGGAAAGCTTTCACCCAGAAAGAAGACCTCACTGAGGGTCAGAGTCCCTCAGTGTCCACACTGGAGGACAGTATATATATGGCAGGATATCAGTGACACAGCTGGCCTCATTTTGTCAGGAAGTCATATAGAAATGAAAACTTCATGAACATGCTAAATGTGGAGCACCTCCAGTCAAATACCAGAACTCATGAAGGAATGACATCCTGTGAAAGTGGTAAATGTCGGAGTGCTTTTAAATGTTTTTAATGTTTTAAAAGTTAAGTCTGACCTTTTAAATGTTTTAAATGTCAAGTCTGACCTCATTATACATCAGATAATTCACCTGATGTACATTTTCAGATGATACTTTGAAACCCTTTTTTGGTAGCCTTGTCAGTAATTTCATAGTTTCAAAAAGTCGTCTGCTTTCCTCATTACTGATGAATATTTATTGTTATATACAATGCAGAGTGTCCTATGGAGTATTCTAGGACTACCCTGTATTATGTGATTTGTTTTTACCTTTCTTGGGCTCTAAACTTAATTGTAAATTTAGCATACTGAAGTAGTTTAAAAGGAAATAATGTTTTACATTATGTTTTTTATAAAACAAGTATTTGTACTTGCTTAACTAAGTTTATAAATATGACCAAATATTTTATAAAACCACCTTCCGAGTTATTTTTGTACAATGTTTAATTTGAAATCACTTTAACTTATAAGAAATTGCAAAATAGTCCAGAGAGTTCCCTAGTATCCTTTACCTCACATCTCCCAGTAAAAACATTTATGTAAGCCACGTCTTGTTATTGAATCCAGGAAAATGACTTGGTAGTATACTGTTAGCTAAGCCCTTAACCTTGCCTTGTTTGGATTTCATTAGATTTCCATGTTTTTTTTTTTTTTATGTTTTAATTCTAAGAAGCTTTATTACATATACAGATTCATGTAACTACTACCACAACCATCATGTAATACTGTAATCAACACAGATTCCCTCATTGAACCTTTTTATGCTCATACCCTTTATCCAAACCTACCTCTCACAACCACTTCTGTTTTCCATCAATATAGTTGTATAATTTTATGTTACAAAAATCATTTTTACAACTGGATTTAAAATATTTTATGTTATATTTATTGACATAATTTTATATTTTTCCATAAAAGTTATTACATTATTGACTATATACAAATTTATAATTTTTTTATTAGTAGAACATATGTAAACTTTTCATGTTTTTGTCATTTGGCAAATTGCTCTGAAGACTTACGTGAGTTAATGGATGGTTGTTTTATTTTTATTAGTGAGTAATAAACATACTAGATGACCAGTTTTTCACTTCATTCTTGGAAGAGATCTCCTGGTTTCAGCTGTTGTAAAGATCGTATGAAATCCGCATACACGGTTTTGTATGAGCGTAAATTTTCATTTCGCTACAATAAATTCAGGTGTGTGATTGTTGGGATGCAGGGTAAGTTGTGTTTAGCCTTATAAGAAACTACTCTCTTCCAGTGTGGCTGTGCTGTTTTATATTCTCACCAGCGGTGTGTGAAATACTGTTCTGTATGCTCCCCAGCACTTGGTGTTCAGTGCACTTAAGGTAACTACTAATAGCCTGTGGTTGACTGGAAGCCTTACCCATAACATGAACAGTCCATTAACGCATAGTTAGTATATGTATATAGTTTGTGTATGTGTTATATACTATGTTCTTAAAGTAAGTTAGGAAAAAGAAAATATTATAAAGAAAGTCTTCTTCTGGGGACCCAGATGGCTGTCAGTTAAGCATCTGGCTTGGTTTTGGCTCAGGTCATGATCTCATGGGTCATGGGATCAAGCCCCATTCATTTGTATAGGACACAGTTTTGATGCCATGGGTCTTGTAAATAATGCTGCAATGAGCATGGGAGAACAACTGTCTTTTTGAGATAGTGATTTCATTTCCTTTGGGTACGTTCAAGCAGAATTATTGAATCATACGGTGGTTTTATTTTTAATTTTTTGAGGAAACTCCATACTGTTTTCCATAGTGGCCGCACCAAACTCACCGTGTCCTTCATTCTTTTTATGTCTGTCTGCATGTTCATTTATGATTTATTTAACGAATCACCTACTGAGGCACATTCATATTGGTATTAGTTACTTTTGCATTACAGAATTACTTTCCTAAAACTTAATGTCTAAAGACAAACGTTTATTAATTCTTTTGTGTGGGTCTAGGGTTGGATTGTCTGGTAGAGCTGTCTGGACAGAGCCTGTATGAATGAGATGGCTTTTTTTTTTTTTTTTTTTTTTTTAAACACCTCTAAGCCTCCGATGGAATTGATTGGGTCTTTCACAGGCTCTCATGCTGCAACAGGCTAGCCTGAGCTCTATTCTAATGTGTTAGAAGAGCTCCAAGAGATAGACAGACTATACCTCGCGGACAAGTCTAGTTCTATCCTGTTTGTTATTTGTCCTATTGGAAACACTGGTCAGAGTCACTAGGAAGGAATGTTATCCAAAAGTGCATATAGAGATGGAAGAGAAGTACATTTACATAACAAATTTGTGTTTGTTATTTCCTTAAAATTGTCAGAATTGATGCCATACTTATTCTTGTACATGTTCTCAAAAAAATAAATTTCTACTGAATCCCTGAAATTAATAGCTGGCTCAAAGAAATGAAAAGTTTTAAGTTGGATAATTGCAGGATTGTACTCCAGAAACATTTTACTGGTTGATATGCTCTAGTCTGAATCCTGACTAAACACATCAAATACCTAATACTAAATGTGTGCATTTTAAACTTCCAACTATGATAAGCAAGATAGTAACATCTCAGTTCACTCAAAGCCATAGGTGGTGGACAATTTACCTATGCAGATGAGAAAAATAAGACTTAGCACAAGAGTGTCTTTATTGCATGGCCTCGCCACTCTGAATGTTATTCATCGTTCAGCCTTTATGAATATTAAGGCTTAACATATTTTTGCTTCCTGTTCACTTTGCACTTATTTGAATATTAGATGCACTTTAAAAAATCAGATACTTGCAATTTTAAAAAATAAGTGGCTTATTATTGAGCTATTTAAAAAATTAGTTGATCTTTTTCCTATACCTCTTATAATAGGACGTGGAGAGTGGCTCTCATACATGGATGGTGGAATGGGTTGATACACTAACTGGAAAATAGTTGGCAATTTCACATGCACAGATAGGCCTTCCCCTCTAATCTTCCCTATTTCTGGCCTTTGGTCAAAGCCTGTCTTCCTCTCTGGACCCACGGAAAGATCCGCCTGCGCCGAGTCAGCTTTCGCCCTGGGCACTGACCTTTTATGACTTGCCGTGGCCTTTTCCCCCCATTCCTTGCCCCCAAGCCTAACTGGCTCGTTCTGACGCTTTTATTTCCCAGTCAATGACCACCATCCCTGTGCCCCCAGAGCTTCTGCTTTGTCCAAAAGTCTCTTCAAACCCATTTTTGCTAGAAACTCGGTGGAGGAGGCTTCCGTAGGTGGGTTCGCCTTTCCCCAAGCGAGTTCTGTGCTGGACAGATACCTCCACTTTCTTTTAACGGGGTAGTGCCAACGGAGCCATCTAAGTTTAATTTTCCAGTCGGCTCACTGAAAGGGATTCCCGCCGCGCCGTTTTTGGCCGGTTTAAGCATCAGCTTGGAGACACCTGTGCGCTTCCGCCGGGACCCACCCGCCCTTCCACTTTCCCAACGATCCCTGCTCGAGGGCACGGAAGGGGCCCCTCAGCGGCCCGTACGACCTTGATCTAAGATGGCCGCCCCGTGGGGCACGGCCCGGGCGCGGCCATGTTGCCGCAGCGGAAAAGCCGTGATCCCGTTGCCTTTTCTCTACAAATGCCTCAGACCCCTGTTGGACACCGTCCGGCGGTGCCGAGCCACGCGGGCGAAGTTCGGCGAAGTAAGTTCAGGCGCCGACCGGTCGTGGTGGTGTGTGGCGAAAATCAGGTCAGTGTCTGAGGCTGTTCGTGGGCGGTGGCTGAGGAGTGGCGGTCGGCGTCCGCCTGGGGTGACGCGGCGGGGATTCCAGCGGGAGGAGGGCGTGGGTGGGTGTTGCGCCGTGTGGCGTGTGCGCCCCAGTCCGGAGTCGCTCTCGCGGCTCGTGGTTGAAGATCTCTGGGGAACAGCGACCTGGGGCCGAGGGCACATCTGGGGGCCGTTTACTCTCGGGGGCTCGGAGATGGCTAGCCGGAGGTGGTGGCTGTCAGGGACGGCTGCATAGGGTGCGCATTTGGTTCGGGGCTCGAAGATGAGGCGCTGTTTCGGGGTTCACGTGCAGGGGTCTGTGGGGCTCACGGGATTCGGGGGGGCTGCCCCGAGCGTCCGCGCCGCGGCTGGAGTGTGGGCTGCGCCTGGAGGCCCGGGGCTTGGCTGCTGCCGCCGACGCGAGGTGCCTTTGCCTTCCCCTTCTGCCCCGTAGCCCCAGGTCTTCCGCTCTAGTTTTTAAACCCTCTTTGGCCCCCAACATGACCCCTTACTGTCGAACTTCAAAGTTTCTGGCGAGATGAATGATGCCGCGTACCTCATAGCGGTTTCCTGTTTAAGATGCAGCCTTTTCTCCTTTGTCCTGCGAGATAGCTGCACGTTCCTCTGGGATGTTTCTTTTCAGACTCCGTCCGACACAAGCAAAATAACATCTCTTGTCATTAAGTTCTATTCCCAAGGGATAACCCTTGTCTAAATTTTAGTACATTCCAGTTTGAGGCTTTCATGTTATGTGCTTAATATTGATAATCCCGATAAATTGTGTAAATGGTACAATGATTTTCTCTGTTCCCCTATTTCATGTAATAGACATTTACAAATGATTTTAATGTATCGACCTGTGGTATTGTGAGTGGATTCGTAGTCAGTGTTTGCGTATGTTTGTATAAAGGTGCAATGTTTGAAATGTTTAGGTATCATTTTGGGGATATTTCATGATTATGCATTTACTCATGGATTTGTTCCTCTGCCTTTATCTCCAATGTGGACTTTTTTTTTTTTTTTAATCGCAGTTGTAAGCGTGTTATTCCTTTCTGACACCCTTTTCCTTATAATTTTCTAGAATATAAAACAATCAATTAACTTCAAATATCTACTTGCTACTTGGCCACGTTACTAAATTCTTATTTCAGTATCTTTCTCTCCACCTAACATTTTAGCATGGAAGATTTTCAAACATACAGAAATATCATAAGAATGTTAAAGTTTCCGTCCATACACCTACCACCTAGATTCTACCATTAATGTCCTACTAGACTAGCTCTACCAGTTATCTAATCCTCTGTCCATCCTTTGTTCACGAAGCAGTCTTTTTTGTTACGGGCAGGGAGAGGTGGAGGGAGAGACAGAGAATTCCAAGCAGGCACCATGCCCAGCACAGAGCCCGAGACTGGTTCCGTCTCACAACCCTGAGATCATGACCTGAGCCAAAATCTAGAGTTAGAAGCCTAACCGCTGAGCCACCCAGACACATCATGAGTCAGTCTTCTGTTGGTTTTGGTTCATTCTAAAGACAGCTGGGGTCCTGTAAGGTTACTCTAAATGCCTCTGGAATTACATGGCTAATAGAGTTCTAATAGCTTTTTACTTGTTTCCGTTGTTTACTTAATGAACAGATTTCTTATTTACAAATAGTCTTGGCCTGCTGTGAAGTGGAATGAAAGTGAATTTTGGAATGAATTGAATCTTGTTTTTATTGATTTTTAAAAGATTTTATTTATTTATTTGAGAGAGAAGATGAGAGCACAAGCTGGAAGTGGGGACAAAAAGAGAGGGAGAAGCAGACTCCCCACTGAGCCGGGAGCCTAACAAGGGGCTCAGTCCCAGAACTCCAGGATCATAACCTGAGCCGAAGACAGACACTTAACTGACTGAGCCACCCAGGCATCCCTGAAATGAATCTGATTTTTCAATCCACTGTGTGATTGATGTGACCTGTATCTGTTTCCCTGATAGCAAAAAGAAGTCAAAATCTCCCTCATGGGTTGTTTTGAAGATCCAGTGAAGTAAAATACCTAAAATGGTGATCTGTGATGGCAGGAACTTAGTATATTTGAATAAGAAGGCTGATGATTTCCCCATATTTATGGTTTTGTGCTTTGTAAAATATGTATTTATAACTCATTTGCTCTATCCCTGCCTCCCCCTTGTTTCTGTTTTCATAAAGTATGAAAACTTTTTTTCCTTGTCATTTTATTTATTTATTTATTATTTTTTGTATTTTCTTTTTAAAGATTTTATTTATTTATTTGCGAGAGAGAGAGAGAGAGAGCGAGCACAGGCCGGCCGAGTGGCAGCAGAGGCAGAGGGAGAAGCAGGCTCCCTGCCGAGCAAGGAGCCCGATGTGGGACTCGATCCCAGGATGCTGGGATCATGACCTGAGCCGAAGGCAGCTGCTTAACCAACTGAGCCACCCAGGCGTCCCTATTTTTTTGTATTAATATATAATGTATTATTTGCCCCAGGGGTACAGGAAGTATAAACACTTTTAAAGTTATGAACTTACATTAATGATCCAGCAACACAGTTTTAATTATAGAATGCTGATAATTTTCTGATTTAAAACGTAAGTGCTCTTATGGAAACTATAATGAAGAAACTAAACGTCCTATCAAATACTACACTGTTGCCAGTGTTTCCTTTTCAGAAATTCTTAGAAGTAGATTTTTAGTTTACTAGCAATACTTTCAATGTTAAATTGAATGTTAAATTATTCCCATGAAATGTCCTGTTCTTTAACACTGACCTTGACCTCTGTGTGCTTTATGATGGTATAGGGACAGCTGGGTGGCTTAGTTGGTTAAGCGTCTGCGTTCAGCTCAGGTCATGATCCCAGTGTCCTGGGATCAAGTCCAGCATCAGGCTCCTTGCTCAGCAAAGAGCCTGCTTCTCCCTCTGATTGCTGCCTGCTGCTCCCCCTGCTTGTGCTGGCTTTCTCTCTCTGATAAATAAATAAATAAAATCCTTAAAAAAAAAAAAAAGATGATATAGACTTTTTCTATTTAAATGTTGTAACCAGCCACCTGACTAAAGAGGTATATAGACATGTTAGGTGAATATTCATAATTGGCCTTTTTAAAAAAGATTTTATTTATTTATTTGTCAGAGAGACAGAGATAGATAGAGCGAAAGCAGGGGGAGTGGCAGGCAGAGGGAGAAGCAGGCTTCCTGCTGAACAAGGAACCCGCCCCCCACTGCAGGACTTGATCCTGGGATCAAGACCTGAGTCAATAGCAGTCACTTAACCGACTGAGCCACCCAGGCATCCCCATGTGCTACTAAGTTAGACTTAAATTCTTACCGGTTTTGTTTCTCTTGACTCCTTGCTCCTCTGCTTATGTTGGTGTATCCTTTCCTTTTGCTTGAAGAACATTCATGTTTGCTGTGATACAGGTTTTCTGATGAAGAATTCTCTCTGCTTTTGCCTGAAAATGTCTTTATTTCAGTTCTATTTCTTTTTTTTTTTTTTTTTTTTAAAGATTTTATCCATTTATTTGACAGAGAGAGATCACAAGCAGGCAGAGAGGCAGGCAGAGAGAGAGGAGGAAGCAGGCTCCCTGCTGAGCAGAGAGCCCGATGCGGGGCTCGATCCCAGGACTCTGAGATCACGACCTGAGCCGAAGGCAGTGGCTTAACCCACTGAGCCACCCAGGCGCCCCTCAGTTCTATTTCTAAAGAATATTTCTGCTGACTATCCTATATAGGTTTATACTTATAATTCTCTACAGAGTATCAAGAAATGGCTGGTAATGAGAAATTAAATAAGACCCCGCTTAATATTTGCTTAGCACGATGTTCTCAAAATCAAAATGTATGGAGCCTAGGATGTAAGAAGACTTTTGAAGAGGGGGATGGACATGCATGGTTTGAAAGATAATGGGGCGCCTGGGTGGCTCAGTCGGTTAAGCATCCAACTCTTGGTTTTGGCTCAGGTCGTGATCTCAGGGTCATGAGATTGAGGCCTCTGTTGGGCTCGGTGCTGTGCGTGGATCCTGCTTGGGATTCTCTCTCTCCCTCTCCCTCTGCCCCTCTCCTGCTCACAGTTGCTCCCTCTTTTTCTATAAGTAAATAAGTAAATTAATTTAAAAAATTAAAATATGTACATCTTAACTGTCTGCATGTCCTTGTTCCTAAAATGAATCCACCTAAGGAGTTCTCTGCCACTGGGTATCACGCTTTTCTGTGTCTCTGTCCCACATTCCCTTTGATAGTCACACTGCTTCCACTCTACAGAAGAAAGGTGCTTCCCAAACATTCTGAATTTTATGTTTTCTTGGCCCAGAGTACTTAATAAAAAGACAGATCTTTGGGGGCCTTGGTATAAGGTGAATGCACAGCAACAGTGACAACATCTGGGCCTAAAGAGAATGTGCCACTCAGAGTAATTTGTTTTTCAGCCTGTAGGTGCTGGCTCTCCAGGAACTAGACAGATCAAGGGAAAAGGGAGGAGAAGACTCCAAGACTTAGATGACGTCATTTCTGGGGAAACCATTGACTGGAGACTGAGATTTTTTAACAGAAATTTAGAGCTGATCCAGAAGAGCTAAAGACAGAGCATCCAAGTTAGCAGCCATTTCCCCAAATCAAAAGAAGATGATCCAGGCCCAGGTGACTTTTGGGCTCTTTTATTCTTTCCTTTATTTCCCAATGGATTTGTAGAAATCAACTAAAAAAAAGATCAGTGCAATTAAAAAGAAAAGTTTAAATTGAGAATAGCAGTATCTGGAGAAATCTGGGCAAAGTAGGATCAGGAACCCATTTTTCATAGGATTCATACTTTGTGATTCATGTTAGAATGAATATATATGACTGTGTAAGACCCTGTAGGTCACATGAGCTGTCAGTTTGCTGCAAATATCTCTGACAATCATCACAAGAGAATCTTGGTAGGTTACATGGTAGGCATTACTGTGATATGTCTACTGCCAACACTTCTGACACCAAACGTGAGTTTTTGTGCACAAATGACCAGTTCTCCAACTCTCCAGATATCACCTGTCTATAATTTGATTCAATCTTAACACTGACTACATGGATTTACTATCATACTCCATAAGTTGTTTTTTTTTGTTTTTCAAATTTTTTATTTAAAAAAAAAAATTTTATTACACCAAATGTTTCTGAAACAGCAATGATCATAGGAAGCCCCAAAATGAACTACTTTCATTATCTGGAATTGTGTTCCCTTTCATGAGGATACCTTGAAAGGAAGAAACCAGGGAAATGTCTGGGTTCATGAGACACCTTTAAATTATTTCATTTTCCTGCATAGGCCATGTTTAAACTATTTTAGTGGGCATATTATAAAAATATTAACATTACATCTTAAATCTTCCCATTTTTTTAAAATTTTTTAATTTATTTTCAGCGTAACAGTATTCATTGTTTTTTGCACCACACCCAGTGCTCCATGCAATACGTGTCCTCTCCAATACCCACCACCTGGTTCCCCCAACCTCCTACCCCCCGCCCCTTCAGAACCCTCAGATTGTTTTTCTGAGTCCATAGTCTCTCATGGTTCACCTCCCCTTCCAATTTCCCTCAACTCTCTTCTCCTCTCTAATTCCCCTTGTCCTCCATGCTATTTGTTATGCTCCACAAATAAGTGAAACCATATGATAATTGACTTTCTCTGCTTAACTAATTTCACTCAGCATAATCTCTTCCAGTCCCGTCCACGTTGCTACAAAAGTTAGGTAGTCATCCTTTCTGATGGAGGCATAATACTCCATAGTGTATATGGACCACATCTTCCTTACCCATTCGTCCGTTGAAGGGCGACCACAGTTTGGCGACCGTGGCCATTGCTGCTATAAACATTGGGGTACACATGGCCCTTCTTTTCACTCCATCTGTATCTTTGGGGTAAATACCCAGTAGTGCAATTGCAAGGTCATAGGGAAGCTCTATTTTTAATTTCTTGAGGAATCTCCACAGTTCTCCAAAGTGGCTGCACCAACTTACATTCCCACCAACAGTGTAAGAGCGTTCCCCTTTCTCCACATCCCCTCCAACACATACTCCACAAGTTTGCCCTCATGTCAGATGCCAAGTATTGGGTGCCCAGAGTACTCATAATTCTGACTTGACTACAAATAGACAGTTCTCACAATCCCTTTGTTGGTTTTGATAATTCACTACAGTGACTCACGTAACTCAGGAAAACACTTTACTTCACATTTACCAATTTATTATAAAGAATAGAAGGTGGAAACAAGCAAATGGAAGAGAAGCCCAGAGCAAGGAAGGAGCAAGGACCTTCCAAGCCTTCTCGAGATAAGCCACCCTCCCAGCACCTTGATATGCTCACCAACCTGAACTTCTCTGAGCCCTATAGTGTAGTGTGAGTCAGTTTTGTCGTTGTTGTTGTTTTAATATTTTATTTATCTATTTGAGAGAGAGAGAGAGTGAGAGAACATGTGCATATGTGCACAAAGTAGGGTGTACAGAGGGAGAGGGACAAGCAGACTCTCCACTGAGCGTGGAGCCCGATGCGGGGCTCATGCCAGGACCCTGAGATCATGATCTGAGCCAAAGTCAGACACTTAGCCCACTGAGCCACCCAAGTGTCCCCTGGAGTGTTGTGTTTTTTATGGAGGTCTCATCATGTAGGGGCAGTTGATTAAATCACTGGCCATTAGTGATTATCTCAATCTCCAGTCCCTCTCCTTCCCCTGGACAGCTTGGGTGGGGCTGAAAGTTCCAGCCCTGTAATCAATAGATTGGTTTCCCTAGCAACAAGCCATATCCTTAGGGTATCTAGGGTCCCTCTAGTGTTACCTCGTTAATATATAGTCAGGTATGGTTGAAAGGAGCTTATTACAAATAATGCAAGATATCCCTCCCATCCCAACCACTTAGGAAATTCCAGGGCTTTAGGAGCTCTTGTGCAAGGAACCAGAGATGAATACAAAATACAAACTTCTTCTTATATCACAATATCACAGGCATCAAGTGTAAGGAGAAAACAGACTGGTTCCTTGAGGGATGTTAATGTTTCATGGCACATAGGTATGCAGTTCACATGGTCTTTCAGAGAGGTATTGTGGTTAGTGAGGTCCTTAACTGCCCCTACTACTTATAAATGTAAAAATGTTTTTCCTACAGCTGTTTCTTCATTGTATCTATTACAGTTTTAACCCTGCCTAATGATATGCACACATACATATATGTTTGTCTTTTTACGTATATGTGTCCATAAATATGTTCTTTATAGTTTTTTTTTTAATTTGCTTAGTCATCTGTTAATCCTTTTGCTTTATTCATGTTTATACAGCTTCTTTTGTTTACTTTATTAACCACTGAAATAAGTACATACTGTCTTATCTGCAGTCTCTTCATTACTGGTTTTGATATTAGCTCGAATGCTCATGGTGAATTTAGGAATCTGTATTATTTGTCTGCTTATAAGTGTTATGTAGTTCAGTATTGGCAAAGAGATTCTCAAATATATATAGATTATAGATTCCTACACTAGCAAGAGGATTTTGTGACACATATTACAGAAATTTCCTTAAATTTTCAAGGTCGTTGAATGAATAGAAGATTGCACATGACATAATATTATACAAGATTTTTTCTATCACACTGTATTAAAGAATAAAAACCACCATTTCCTCTGTAGTGAAATGAGCAGAATAACTTCCTTTATCTGTTTTTTCCATGTCACCACAAGAATATCACTTCATTAAACATAACTGTGTTATAACAGGAATCCCTGACATTTGATGATGTGGCCGTGGACTTCACCTGGGAGGAGTGGCAGCTCCTGGCCCCTGCTCAGAAGGGCCTGTACCGGGACGTGATGTTGGAAAATTATAGGAACCTGGTGTCAGTGGGTGAGGACAGCTCCCCTGTGTCACTCACAGGGCGCTCTGCCAGTGGCTTTCTTTCTTTCTCAGCTACTTAACTCTTTAATACTCTGAAATGGTAGATCCTCAGATCCTTCTCTTGCCTTAGACAAGAGGGTATAATGTCCCATCTTCTGAGAGAAAAGCCTTGATGTTACAGATATGAAACCTGTTTAGTTCCTAAAATGTAACATTATCCCTTCTTGATGTACCCCAGTCCGCTGAGTCTTCCGTCTTTTCTCACGAACAGGGTATCAAGCCGGCAAACCAGATGCACTGTCCAGGTTGGAGCGAGGAGAACTTTGGACGAGAGAAGATGAAATGCACAGTCAGATCTGCCCAGGTGAGTGAGAACTGGCAAGGTGGGCGGCTCAGTGGTATTAGGTCATTCAGAGAAGGCATCAAGGACTGTGACCGTGTCTGAGGAAACATCAACAGCCCGTCCCTGTATCTCTCTTCTCATATGAGAATTCTTTTTCTTTGTTGAAGTTTAGAGGAAATATGCTCCTTTTTTTTCTTTTGAGATTGGATCCCTGTTTATTTATTTATTTTTTAAAAAGATTTTGTTTATTTATTTGACAGAGAGAGAGAGATCATGTGTAGACAGAGAGGCAGGAAGAGAGAGAGGGGGAAGCAGGCTCCCTGCCGAGCAGAGAGCCCAATGCAGGGCTCGATCCCAGGACCCTGAGATCATGACCCGAGCCAAAGGCAGATTCTTAACCCACTGAGCTACCCAAGTGCCCCTCTTATTATTTTTTAGAAAGTTTTATTTCTTTATTTTTAGAGAGGAAGTATGCATGAGCAGGAAGGACAGCGGGAGAGACAGAGAGAGAATTGTCAAGCAGACTCCCCACTGAGCATGGAGTCTTGACGCAGGTCTCGATCCCACAACCTAAGATCATGACCTGAGCCAAAATCAAGAGTCGGATGCTCAACCTACTGATCCACCCAGGCTCTTTTTTTAAGGATTTTTGTTTTTAAATATCCAACATGGGTATTTTAAACGCCCAACATGTGCCTCGAACTTACAACCCTGAGATCAAGAGTCACATGCTCCAGTGACTGAGCCAGCCAGGCTCTCCCTCCTAGGATTTTCTAATCTTCCTCATCTTCATCTGCTGTCACAGTGTTTTTGCCTGTGTTACCACCTCTCCTGCAATGAAATTCCACTTTCCAGGCCTCTCTGGAAAAAAAACAACTTTAAGTTCATCACTTTCTTCTTACTACTTTCCTTACCTGCCTTACTAGGAAATTATGATTTCCTTCCATAATATCTTACCCCACCTTGGATGCTTTGTCTCCATGCTAACCTGGTTTTTCTGTGCATTTATGTTGTTCCTTGGCTCCCCTCCCCTACTTTCCCACCAGAACCCTGGAGGTTCTCTCTCCATACTTCTGTTTTCATTTTCTTCTCAGTTCTCATAACTCTGAAAAGCTTCCTTTATTCCCATGAATTAATCTCTTTCCCTTCTCTCATACATCCTAATTGGCTTCTCTCTTAATACAGTCTGCTTTCTTTCGATGTATTTTATCCTTCTTCATGGTAGCAGCCTATGACTTCACATTTTGTGTGTGAGAACGGGAATCATCTTCTCTCCATCTTTTTTTAACATTTAGGTTCTTTTTCAGCTCAACACAACTACACATTTTAAAATTTCTCCCTATCCTGGCATGTTTTCTACTTGCTGAGGTTTCTTCTTTTTTTGGGGGGAGGGGGGTAGAGAGAGAATTTTAAGTAGGCTCCACAGCCTGACACAAGGCTTAATATCACAACCTGAGATCATGACCTGAGCAAACATCAAGAGTTGGATGGTTAACTGACTGAGCCATCCAGGTGCCCCTGAGCTCCCTTCTTAAAGGTCATTTGATTAACAAGAAAATATCTTTTTTAACATGCTACATGATTTCCAACCCAAACCAGGTCATAACTTAAGTCTGCTTCAAGTAATTTCCTTCATGGTTTTGCTAATTCATATTTTTCTTTAGTTACTAGATACTATCACTGCATTTATTTTCCTAAAGCTTTTGTTTTCACTTTTTTTTTTGTTTGTTTTGGTAATCCAGTCAATCATGCCCTGACACTGGCTGTGGCCATTTATTATTACTTTCCAGTTTCTAAAATGATGGCAAAATGGAATTTCCCCTAATTTTTTAAGACCTTGACTCTGATTCTTTTTTTTTTTTTTCTATTGAAGTATAATTAACATACAGTGTTATGTTCATTTTGGGTACACAATATAGTGATTCAATAATTCTATATATTTCTCTGCTCATCAAGATAAGTTGCTCTTAACTCCCTTATCTATTTAACCCATCCTCCTGTCCACCTTCTTTCTGGCAATTATCAGTTTCTTTTCTGTATTTAAGAGTCTGCTTTTTTATTTGTCTCTATTGCTTTGTTCACTTGTTTTTTTCCTTAAATTCCACATATGGGTAAAATCATAAGGTGTTTGTCTTTCTCTGGCTGACATATTTCACTTAGTATTATATCCTCTAAATCCATTCATTTTGTTGCAAATAGCAAGATTTCCTTTTTTATGGTTTAGTAATATTCCATTGTATGCATATACCATATCTTCTTTATCTCTTTTTTCCCAAATTTTTATTTAAATTCTAGTTAGTTAACATAGTTTAATATTGGTTTCAGGAGTAGAATTTAGTGATTCATCACTTACATACAACACCCAGTGCTCATCACAAGTGCCCTCCTTAGTACCCATCCCATTTAGGCCATCCCCCACCTCCCTCCCTCCAGCAACCCTCAGTTTGTTCTCTGTAGTTAAGAAGCTCATGGTTTGCTTCTCTCTCTCTTTTTTTTTTTTCCTTCCTATATGTTCCATGTGTCTTCCTGTATGTTCATTTGTTTCTTAAATTCCACATATGAGTGAAATTTTATGATATTTGTTTTTTCTGACTGACTTATTTCACTTAGCATAATATACTCTAGCTTCATCCATTTCATTGCAAAAGGCAAGATTTCATTCTTTTTGTTGGCTGAGTAGTACTCCATTGTGTGTATGTCTATATATCACATCTTCTCTATCCATTCATCAGTTGGTGGACATGTGGGCTCTTTCTATATGTTAGCTGTTGTTAATAATGCTGCTGTAAACATTGGGGTGCATGTGCCCCTTCAAATCTGTATTTTTATATCCTTTGGGTAAATACCTAGTAGTTCAATTGTTGTATCATAGGGTAGTTCTATTTTTTTTTTTTTTTAAGATTTTATTTATTTGAGAAAGCATGTGAGAGAGCACAAGTGGTGGAGAGGGAGAAGCAGGCTGCCCATCAAGCAGGGAGCCTGATGCAGGGCTCGATCCCAGGATCCTGGGATCATGATCTGAGCCGAAAGCGGCCACTTAACCGACTGAGCCACCCAGGTGCCCTAGGGTAGTTCTATTTTTAACATTTATTTTTAAAAAAGATTTTATTTGAGAGAGTATGCTTGAATGAGGGAGGATCAGAGGAAGAGAGATAAACAGACTACCCGCTGAGTGCGGAGCCCAAAGTGGGGCTCAATCCCAGGACCCTGAGATCATGACCTGAGCCGAAGGCAGACACTTAATGGACTGAGCCACCCAGGCACCCCTAGGTGAAGGCATTTTTATTTATTTTTTTATTTTTTAATTTTTTTAAAAAGATTTTATTTATTTATTTGACAGTCAGAGATCATAAGTAGGCAGAGAGGCAGGCAGAGACAGAGGGAAGCAGGCTTCCCACTGAGCAGAGAGCCCAATGCGGGGCTCGATCCCAGGACCCTGAGATCATGACCCAAGTGGAAGGCAGAGGCTTTAACCCACTGAGCCACCCAGGCGCCCAATGTGAAGGCATTTTTTTTTTTTTTAAGATTTTATTTATTTATTTGACAGACAGAGATCACAAGTAGGCAGAGAGGCAGGCAGAGAGAGAGGGGGGGAAGCAGGCTCCCCGCTGAGCCAAAAGCCTGATGCGGGGCTCGATCCCAGGACCTGGAATCATGACCCGAGCCAAAGGCAGAGGCTTTAACCCACTGAGCCACCCAGGCGCCCCTGTGAAGGCATTTTTGAAACAGTTTTATTCCAGGGCACCTGGGTGGCTCAGTGGGTTAAGCCACTGCCTTCGGCTCAGGTCATGATCTCAGGGTCCTGGGATCGAGTCCCGCATCGGGCTCTCTGCTCAGCAGGGAGCCTACTTCCCTCTCTCTCTCTCTCTCTCTCTCTGCCTGCCTCTCCGTCTACTTGTGATCTCTCTCTGTCAAATAAATAAATAAAATCTTTAAAAAATAATAAAAATAGTTTTATTCCAAGCTAAGATTATGAGAAATTACAGAGTGATTCATTGTTCTTTTCTCTCTTAGAAATCAGGAACGATGATTCTCTGCAATGTCACTTGGAAAATCGAAGCAATCAGAAGAGTGTGGAACAATGGTGTGAACATAATACATTTGCAAATATTCTTAATCAGAGTGAAAGTCATTTCCTGTTAAAGCAAAATGATGATATATTTGACTTATGTGAAAAACCTTTAAAATCCAATTTACGTTTTGAAAACAGGGGTATAAACTATAACTCAAAGAACTCTGAGTTTAATGAAGATGCAAAATCCCTTCTTCATACTAACCATGAACAATTTTATAGTGTAATAAAATTTCCTCTAAGTGTAAAACCCATCAACAATAATTCGCAGGTCATTAAACAGCAGAGAACTCACAACATGCAGAAAGCCCATGTATGTGGTGACTGTGGGAAAGCCTTTGTCAAGGTGTCTCAGCTCATTGATCATCACAGAGTTCATACTCGAGAGAAACCTCATGGATGCAGTCTGTGTGGGAAGGCATTCTCTAGAAAATCCAGTCTAACTGAACACCAGAGAACTCATACAGGACTGAAACACGAATGTACTGAACGTGACAAAACGTTCCTCAAGAAATCACAGTTCAGTTTACACCAGAAAACTCATATGGGACAGAAGCCTTATACATGTAACGAATGTGGGAAAGCGTTCATCAAGAAGTGTCGGCTTCTTTATCATCAGCGAACTCATACAGGAGAGAAGCCCCATGCATGCAGTCTATGTGAGAAAGCCTTCTCTACAAAGTTCAGTCTCGCTACACATCAGAAAACTCATACAGGAGAAAAACCTTATATATGCAGTGGCTGTGGAAAAGGCTTCATCGAGAAAAGGCGTCTTGTTGCACATCAGCGAACTCATACCGGTGAGAAACCTTTTATATGCAATGAATGTGGGAAAGGTTTCACCTTGAAGAACAGTCTTATCACACATCAGCAAACTCATACAGAACAGAAATTGTATACGTGCAGTGAGTGTGGCAAAGGCTTCTCAGGGAAGCACTGTCTCATCGTACATCAGCGATCTCATACAGGAGAGAAACCCTACACATGTAGTGAGTGTGGAAAAGGCTTCACCTTGAAGAGTCCTCTCATCAGACATCAGCGAACGCATACAGGAGAGAAGCCCTATGTGTGCAGTGTATGTGGAAAAGGCTTTACCATGAAGAGTGATCTCATTGTACACCAGCGAACTCATACTGCAGAGAAGCCATATCTATGCAATGATTGTGGGAAAGGCTTCGCTGTGAAGAACCGTCTGATTGTACATCAACGCACTCACACAGGAGAGAAACCTTATATATGCAGCGAATGTGGCAAAGGCTTTCCAGCAAAGATACGGCTGATTGGACATCAACGAACTCATACAGGGGAGAAGCCCTATATATGCAACGAATGTGGCAAAGGCTTCACAGAGAAGAGTCATCTCAATGTGCACAGGCGCACTCATACAGGAGAGAAACCCTATATATGTAACGAATGTGGCAAAGGCTTAACTGGGAAAAGCATGCTCATTGCCCATTTGCGAACTCATACTGGGGAGAAACCGTATATATGCAATGAATGTGGGAAAGGTTTCACCATGAAGAGTACTCTGGGTATACATCAGCAAACTCACACTGGGGAGAAACCATACAAATGCAATGAATGCGATAAAGCTTTCAGGAAGAAAACCTGCCTCATACAACATCAGAGATGTCACACAGGAAAAACTTCCTTTGCGTGTCCTGAATGTGGAAAATTTTCTTTGCGTAAAAATGACCTCATTACCCATCAGAGAATTCACACAGGAGAGAAACCATATGAATGCAGTGAATGTGGGAAAGCCTTCACTACAAAGTCAGGGCTCAATGTTCATCAAAGAAAACATACAGGAGAGAGGCCCTATGGATGCAGTGATTGTGGGAAAGCTTTTGCCCACTTGTCAATCCTTGTTAAACATAAGAGAATTCATAGATAGTCACTTTGGGATAACCTGTTGCCAGTTGTAGGCCCTCAAGATAATAGTATGTAATGAAAATAACAGTGCAAAGAATGGTATCATCTTGAGTAATCAATTGTGTCATATTTTATGTTGAGGAAAAAATTGACAAAACAACTCACAATCATCCTTGATGAAAATGTTTTAGGACATTATACATCTAAAAAGTGTACACTGAAATAGATTCTATGAATGTGAAAGACGAGGAAAGCCTTCAGTGGGAAGTAGACCCTATCATGTGATCATCACAGATAATGAGTATTTCCAGTTGGCAGAAATGGAATTGTGGGAAAACCTTTGCCCGGAAGTAAGACCTCAATAAATGTCAGTTCGCACGAGACAAGTACTTCCTATGGCAATGAATACAGTAGGGCTTGAAGTAATATTTTGCCAGGAAATCCATACAGAAATAACTTAGGAACACATTGGATGTGGTGGACTTCAGCAAAATATCAGACAACTTAGAGGAAAGAAGCCTTGAAGCCTTGGGGAAATGATGAATGAGAGCATTCTGTCACATCTAAACATAACGGATAAAACGCCTCACAAGCATCCAGAACAGGACACTTAAGCTATATTTGATTGCCTTGTCATTGATTTTATAAATTTTAAATAGTGGTCGTTACTCTCACCATGAATTAAATTTTTTTTAAAAGATTTTATTTATTGATTTGACAGAGATCACAAGTAGACAGAGAGGCAGGCAGAGAGAGAGAGGGAAGCAGGCTCCCTGCTGAGCAGAGAGCCCGATGCGGGACTCGATTCCAGGACCCTGAGATCATGACCTGAGCCGAAGGCAGCGGCCTTAACCCACTGAGCCACCCAGGTGCCCCTCACCATGAATTAAATTTTAATATGTACAGTGCGGGAGTGTTCTATGCCTGTGTCATTATATAATTAACTTTAGAATTTCTTTAGTTCCAAGTTTGTTATTACAGAATACTTGACGTATTTAAAAATGAAGCAATATGTTAATTTCATAGTATAACAATATATTTGGATGTGTTTAACCAAGTTATAAGTACCATCAGTTTTGAATTTGAAATAAGTTTAGAATCACAAACACTGGACTATTTCAGAAATTTCCTAAATGTCCTTCAGCCAGCTATTTCCAAAGGTAACATTTTACATAACCAGAGTTCATTATCAAAGAGAGGAAAGTGAAATTATAATGCTTTTAACCACAGGATTTACTTGGGTCTGACCAGTTGGTTTTTGTTTTTTTTTTTAAGATTTTGTTTATTTATTTGAGAGAGACAGCACAAGCAGGAAGGAAGGTAGAGGGAGAAGCAGACTGCCCACTGAGCAGGGAGCCTGATGCGGGACTTGATCCCTGGGATCTTGACCTGAGCTGAAGGCAGACTCTTAATCGATTGAGCCACCCAGGTGCCCAGACCTCACCAGTTGTAACATGTACTCATTTTTCTTTCTTTCTTTTTTTTTTTTTATATAGTTTTAAGAAACTTTATCACATGCGTAGGTTTGTGTAACCAATACCGCAGAATGTTTTGTCAACACAAACCCCTTCATGCTACTCCTTCATAGTCAAATTTTCTGTGACCCTGACGCCTGGCATCAGAGATTCTGTAAGTTTGTCATTTATAGACTATGAGGAAAGTAGAATCATTTAGCACTTACTCTTTGGCCTTGTGAGATAATAGGAAATATATACATTGGTCTCTACCCCTGGTTCCTGGCACACATTCCTAAAATCCTTGTAAATTACTAAGTGAGGAGTGCACTAGGGGCTTTTTTTTTTTTTTTTAAAGATTTTATTTAGTGATTTGACAGAGATCACAAGTAGGCAGAGAGGCAGGCAGAGAGAGAGAGAGGAAAGCAGGCTCCCTGCTGAGCGTAGAGTCCGAAGGGGCATTTTTCATTCTAATGAGGCAGCACTGGGTGGGCTCCTGTATGGCTTCTGGATTGGGACAGGTCCCCAGAGAGAGAGACGAAGCCATAGTCAGAAGCTTAGAACTTCCAGCCTTGTCTCCTCTCCCCTTCCCTCCCCACCCCCAGTCCTTCAGAAAAGAGAGAGGTAAATTAAATTAATAACTGATCAATTCTACCCAAGGATGCCTCCATAAAACCCCAATGGCAGGTGAATTTCCAGGTAGGTGAACACAGCCCTCCACGTCCCCAGCGCTGGTGAAGAGTGCGTGGAGAGCACGGAGAGCACCGCACTTGGTCGTGGTCACCCTCCGGGGAGCCCTCACAGGCTGTGGGTCTGGTGCATCTGACTGGGTGTGGGTCCCGAGTGAGGGGCCTAGCCAGTGAAGCAGGAACGCGTGTGGGGGACATTTGCCATATTTGGGGTTTTATTTGGGGCCAGTCACCAAGGAATGCCAGCTTGAGTTAAGGCGTAGTCTTCAGAGACTGATGATGAAAGGACGATGGTCAGGGGCCTGGGGCCTGTGTGTTAACTCAGGCTCAGTGACTGAAAACTAGGTGGCAGGTGCGGACCCATGATCACTGCCCCTAGGCTACCTTAGGGATGTCACCCAGGGGTCCTGACAGGGAGCAGCCTGCCGCCGTAGGGGCGGGAGTTTCCATGGACCAGAGCTCCTGCAGTGAACTTGAGGTTGAATTTGAGGTTAATGTGTTTGGGGAGTGCAGGGTTTGTCCGTGTTTAGGAGCATTGGAGTCTGGGAGTTTTGAGACCCATAGCCCTGGGCTAGTGGGTCTTTTGAGGCCCAACCTTCAGATGGAAACATTTCCTTTTAGTCTTTCGAGTCGCTTCTCAAGGTTCTTACAAAAATGTGAAGAAAAATTTGTCTCCTACATCCACTCTTCCCACTGTCCCCACAGAAATGGGAGTAGTACACCATGATCAAGTGGTGTGTCCATGACTAAAGAGAGGATTTTTAACTTACGACCAAATTTACTCTGATATTTCCTCTCAGGTTTGACACAAGTAAAAGCAACCATTGTCCTAAATGCTCCTCCTCAGTGAGAGCTATTTTGTTAAAAGAGATTTTTTTAGATCACGTTTCAAAAAATTGGGGTCATCTACATTCAAGACTCTGCCTAGCTTCTAACACTCCTGTGTGCTTTTGTATTGTTTTTAGAAAATATCAAAAATTCCTGTTTCGGGGCACCTGGGTGGCTCAGTGGGTTAAATCCTCTGCCTTTGGCTCAGGTCGTGATCCCAGGATCTTGGGATCGAGCCCCGCATCGGGCTCTCTGCTCAGCGGGGAGCCTGCTTCCTCCTCTCTCTCTCTGCCTGCCTCTCTGCCTACTTGTGATCTCTGTCTGCCAAATAAATAAATAAAATCTTTAAAAAAAAAATTCCTGTTTCTCCCCCTTATCAGCAGCATTTTCTACTCAAAATTTTTTGGATTTTGTCGATTCCAATATCTGAGTCCTTGTATCACACAGCGGTTTTAATTTGTAATTTCCTAATACTGAATGACGTTGATCATCTTTTCATATGCTTGTTTGCCATCTGTTTGTCTTTGATCGAGAACCTGTTCAAGGTCTTTGCCCATTTTTAACAGAGTTTTCTTATACATTTTATATGAGAAAATCAAGGAAACATGATTTCTGAATGCATTATTGTATTCTTGGACAGAAAAAAGATAGTAGTGGAAAAACTTGTGAAATATGAATAAAATCTGTAATATAGTTGAGTATTACACAATTTTTAAAATTAACATATAATGTATTATTTGTTTCAGGGGTACAGGTCTGTGAATCATCAGTCTTACACAATTCACAGCACTCACCATAGCACATACCCTGCCCAGTGTCCATCACCCGGCCACCCCATTCCTCCCACCCCCCTCCACTCCAGCAACCCTCACTTTGTTTCCTGAGATTAAGAGTCTCTTATGGTTTGTCCCTCTCTGGTTTTGTCTTGTTTCATTTTTCCCTCCCTTCCCCTATGATCCTCTGTCTTGTTTCTCAAATCCCTCATATCAGTGAGATCACATGATAATTGTCTTTCTCTTACCGACTTATTTCACTTAGCATAATACCCTCTAGTTCTATCCACATCATTGCAAATGCCAAGATTTCATTTTTGATGGCTCCATAACATTCCACTTATACAATGTTGTTTTCTTAATTTGACAAATGTACCGTAATTATATAGAGTGGTCACATGAGAGGAAGCTGAATAAAGCATATTAATTTTGTGACTTTTATGTAAATCTAAGCTTTTCTGAAAACAAAAAGTTTATTAAAAATAGATATAACCTATGTCCATTATATCAGTACAACTGGGAAAAATAGGTGTAACCTAATTTTATCATAATATCTCATTGAAAACGTAGTTCCATATTATAAAATGTTTATGCATATCTATATATGATATTATTAAACAGCTGTAATAATATAGGTGAATTTGTAGGATGGTAACTAGAGTCTCATAAGATGTATGCATTAAAATAAGATATACTTGAACAAATTCTTCAATTATGTTCAGTTTCTATTTTTATCCTCTTTATTCAAATTCTCACATTCTTTTTCTTTAAATTTTATTTATTTATTTGATAGAGAGAAAGATCACAAGTAGACAGAGAGGCAGGCAGAGAGAGAGGGGGAAGCAGGGTCCCAGAGAGCCTGATGTAGGGCTTGATCCCAGGACCCTGGGATCATGACCTGAGCCAAAGGCAGAGGCCCAACCCACTGAGCCACCCAGGCGCCCTTCAAATTCTCACATTCTTTTTTTTTTTTTTTAAGATTATTTATTTATTTATTTGAAAGAGAGAGAGATCACAAGTAGATGGAGAGGCAGGCAGAGAGAGAGAGAGGGAAGCAGGCTCCCTGCTGAGTGGAGAACCGGATACGGGACTTGATCCCAGGACTCTGAGATCATGACCTGAGCCGAAGGTAGCGGCTTAACCCACTGAGCCACTCAGGCGCCCCAAATTCTCACATTCTTACTGCAAGATTTGTTGTAACTTTTTTCTTATATGTTCCAGATATCTCCATTTACTTTTATGCCTCAGTAGTTTATATATTTCAATTCTATGTGGTGTTTTTAAAAAAAATCATACCCTATACATTTTGTAGTATGGTACAGCAATTCATTTCAACAGGCTTATTGTCAAAATGTACATATAATATTTACCATTAGTGAGTGTACAACTCAATGACATTTACTAAGTTTAGAGACTTGTGCCACCAGCACCACAATCCAATTTTTAGAAATTTTCATGATCACCAAAAGTAACTGGATGGTTATTTTGTTATTGTCATTACTGTTATTTGTCAAAAATTTTGACAATTTTTAAATTTTTTTTTATTTTCAGCATAACAGTATTCCTTGTTTTTGCACCACACCCAGTGCTCCATGCAATCCGTGCCCTCTAATACCCACCACCTGGTTCCCCCAACCTCCCACCCTCCACCGCTTCAAACCCTTCAGATTGTTTTTCAGAGTCCATAGTGTCTCATGGTTCACCTCCCCTTCCAATTTCCCCCAACTCCCTTCTCCTCTCTAACTCCCCTTGTTCTCCATGCTATTTGTTATGCTCCACAAATAAGTGAAACCATATGATAATTGACTCTCTTTGCTTGACTTATTTCACTCAGCATAATCTCTTCCAGTCCCGTCCACGTTGCTACAAAAGTTGGGTATTCATCCTTTCTGATGGAAGCATAACGCTCCATAGTGTATATGGACCACATCTTCCTTATCCATATGACAATTTTTAAAAAAAAATATTTTATTTGTCAGACAGAGAGTGCACAAGCAGGGGTAATGGCAGGTAGAGCGAGAAGCAGGCTCCTCACTGAGCAAGGAACCTGATGCCGGACTCAATCCCAGGACCCTGAGATCACAGCCTGAGCTGAAGGCAGAGGCTTAACCTACTGAGCCACCCAGACATCCTGACACTTCTTTATATATTCTGAATACAAGTCCTTTATGAGATGTATAATGTGGAAATATTTTCTCCTAATATCTGGCTCTACTTTTCACTTCTTAAATACAGTGCTTAGAAAGTGCAAATGTTTAAAAGAAAAAAAATACAGATATTTTAATTTTTATTTATATTTATTTATTTATAATTTTTATTTATTTATTATTTTTTAAAGATTTTTATTTATTTATTTGACGGACAGATCACAAGTAGTCAGAGAGGCAGGCAGAGAGAGAGAGGAGGAAGCAGGCTCCCCACTGAACAGAGAGCCTGATGCGGAGCTCGATCCCAGGACCCTGAGTCCATGACCTGAGCCGAAGGCAGAGGCTTTAACCCACTGAGCCACCAAGGCGCCCCTATTATTATTTTTTAAGTAGGCTCCATGCCCAGTGTAGGGCCTGAACTCCTGACTGCGAGATCAAGAGAGTCACATGCTCTACAGACTGAGCCAGCCAGATATCCGAAATACAAATTTTTTTTGTATTTTATTTGTATTTATTTTGTATTATATATGTATGTATATATATAAATATATATAGTATTTTAACTATGTCAAACTTAATACTTTTTCTTTTATGGCTCATCCATTACTGTCTTGTGTCAGAACTTATGGCTAACTTATTTGATTTATGAACATTATCTCCAGTTTGCCTTTCTAAATTTCATACTGTTAACCCTTACATTTAGGTCTGGGAAATATCTTTAGTTAATTTTTGTATATGGTTAGAGTTAAAGGTTCTAATTTATTTTTCTGCAAATAGAAATACAATTATCCCAGCATTGTTTGTTGAAAAAACTAATCCTTTTGAATCATCTTGGTACTTTGGGAGAAAAGCTATTGACCTTAATATTTTTGGACTGTCAGTTGTGGTTGTACCTTTCTCATTGGATCCGGACCCTTGTTCGCCTCACTTTAGTGGCCTTTCCCTGAGGCCCCAATCCCAGCCCCAGTGTAGGTTCCTCTCAGGTGCTCTTTCCTTTAGTTGGTGATGGCCAGTCTCATACCCACGAGGGAAAGAAGCACAAAATCATTCACTGCAACTGCCCCTCAGAACAATGTATTACTTAAAATATAACCCCCGGGAAATTTTACTAGTTACCAAGCACATTTAGATGCAGCCTTAAGAAAAACAGATACTGCAACAGGCCTCTGCAGGAGAGGATGATATATGGCCTTGAAGCCGAGCAGCTGGGGATGCCCGCCTCGCTCAGGGCGGAACACCGCCTGCTTCATTTTCCTGTTATCTCTCCTTTCCCTCCGGAGAGCACCTGTGGCTACTTAGATAAGTCCTTTGAATGTGCTTGTTCAACTATAAACTTTATACTGCTTGTTCAGACATATTTTGCCCTGCTTCTTGTTTATCTACAAGGCATATGACTAACGTTTGACCTTCATCAACTCTTCTGTTGGTTACTGTTTCTACCTAATAAAAGCAAGACTGTGGAGTTGCTTGGGGCAGTAGTCTTTTCGACTGTTGTCCCCTGCTCCCAATCTCTTGCAGCTGACTTGTTTGTGCCTAATTCTTCTCTTGTTCGCCCACTGGAAGCGGCAATTCACCTGTAACCCAGAAGGCTGACCCCCACCGTTTCAATAAGAATCAAGTATGGGGGTGCCTGGGTGGCTCAGTGGGTTAAAGCCTCTGCCTTCTGCTGGGGTTGTGGTCCCAGGGTCCCAGGATCCCAGGGTCCTGGGATCGAGTCCCACATCGGGCTCTCTACTCCACGGGAGCCTGCTTCGCCCTCTCTCAGCCTGCCTCTCAGCCTACTTGTGATCTCTGTCTGTCAAATAAATAAATAAAATCTTAAAAAAAAAAAACAAATATGTGCTGGTTGCTACATTCTTACAGGGCCTCATGACTGCCTGTAAATCTCACCCATAGTTAATATCAAACTGAAAGACAAACCAGCGAAATCTTGCAAATGTAGTTTTAGGAGTAGAAATTTTTTTTTTAATATATATATATTTTAAAGATTTTATTTATTGATTTGACAGAGAGAGATCACAAGTAGACAGAGAGGCAGGCAGAGAGAGAGAGAGAGAGAGAGAGAGAGAAGGCAGGCTCCCCGCTGAGAGAGAAGGCAGGCTCCCCGCTGAGCAGAGAACCCGATGTGGGATTTGATCCCAGGACCGTGAGATCATGACCTGAGCCGAAGGCAGCGGCTTAACCCACTGGGCCACCCAGGTGCCCCTAGGAGTAGAAATTTAAAGAAAACATTAGTGATCTAACACTCCTGGCATGTCCCCTCGTCCTTGAGCACTAAGCATATAACCAATAGTCTCTTACAGCAAAAGTGCACTTCTTCCCGCGGAGGGGTCCAGTCCCCGAGCTACTTAAATAAACTTACTAAGTTGCACCACAGAACCTCTCAAGAATTCTTTCCTGACTGCTGTGATCAACAGTCCCGCAACGACACCGTTCTAGTTGCCCAAAATCTTTCTGTTCTTAAAAACCGCTTCCTGCAAGCAATTTTTCACCAAAAGCTTTCTGCGGGTGTCCGTTTACCGGATGTATTACCTTTTTTTCCTTTTTTTTTTTTTTAAGATTTTATTTATTTATTTGACAGACAGAGATCACAAGTAATCAGAGAGGCAGGCAGAGAGAGGAGGAAGCGGGCTCCATGCTGAGCAGAGAGCCTGATGCGGGGCTTGATCCCAGGACCCAGGGACCATGACCCCAGCCGAAGCCAGTGGCTCCAACCCACTGAGCCACCCAGGCACCCCCGGATGTATTACTTTTTCTCTCCAGAAGGTCCTTCTCTGCTGCGGTATCCACACCTGAAGTTCCACTGACTGTTTTGAAACTTCCTTTTTTTTTTTTTTTAACTTCCTTTTTAAAAAATACAAAGTGGATAATATACACCCAGACCTTGTTACTTCCTGTCCAGCCCGCGAACACGATTTAGCCCACACCATTTTTGCCTCCAAGAGCTTGAGTCTCTAGGAATCTACCCATTTCCCGCACCAGCCAAAGTTGAGGACGAGGTATGAATGGCTTTTCAGGACCTCGCCAAGCCCGGCTTGTGGCCGCAAACCCGTCCCTTTGACTGGTGTACTTCAGGCGTCCCAACATGGCCGCCCCCACAGCCACAACGAGCGGGCGCAGACATATTGGCTTCCTGGAACTAAAGCCAAGCAGTTGTTCGCCGTTCTTCAAAGGCTTCAGGTCCTCCTCGGCCGCCATAGGCTGACAAGCGTTTGGACGACGTTCCCAGGAGTAGAAGCAGTTCGCGGAAGTGTTACGTTTAGACTCTCTTTTTGTTCCGGAGAAAATCAGGTCAGTGTGTGTTTTTATTCCTTGAAGATTCCCTGGTCTTTGTTTTCTATTTTTGTCCCGTTAGGAGGTTTGTTTCTCACAGAATGACGTGACGTCCCCAGGGTAGAAGTGGAGTAGGGGGAGCCCGTGGAATTATTGGCGGGGATCGATTGGGCCGAGCACGAAAGTGGAGGCATTTGAGAGGAACGAGCTGGGAGTCTGTGACTCACCTGTCCGTGGTTAGGGTACTTTTGGGGTCAGTAAGTCGGCTCAGGGTCTGTAGAGCTCAACCTCTGTGTCCGGGCTGTCGAGAGGTTGGGGTTCTGCAGATCCGTCCGCTTGTCGGTGGTGCAGGCGATGCGGATCATTTACGGTGATCGCAGTGTCTGGTTCCAGTTGGTGTTTGATTTGGGGCTCAGTAATGTTGGGGCCCGGGTGGATGCTCGTAACATCGGGGTGTCTGGCCTGGGTTTCGGATTAGTAAGCGGGTGTGTAATGAGTGTCTGGTACACAGAGATGCATGTGAGGACCGCGGCTTTGGACGCCAAGGCCCCGGAGCTGGAGTTTCGATTGAGGTTCCAACCTCGGCTGCTGGAACAGAAGGCTGCAGAGCTCAGAAGAGTAGTTCGAAACCCTCTGTTTTTTATTCGTTTTTAAAAGTCTTTTGTTCAGAGGTTGACTAACTTCAGACCGAGGGATTCACCCACCACCCCTCTCCTCTGTCTGTTAGGAGCCGTCAGTGGCTGCTTTCCCGCGGAAAAGGAAGAATTGAGTCCTTGTGCCAGGGATCTTAAAGTTGAAAATGTGTAATATCCATCCCTTTGCAGAAAATGTTTGTCAACGCCTGCACTCACCTCTTAATACCTAACAGCGGCGAACACTGTTGCTGCCTTTCCCGACATACATTCACTACTTTACTCTTTGCTGAAAGAATGTCCACTTTGTTTAGTATGTCCTTCTTGCAAGGTGACCCACATCTCGGTTTATTACTAAGTACTGGTTGGTCTTATTCAGTCATGGTGCTTCCAGTTGCCATTGCTAATGACTGGATTTCTGTGACATGAGCTTAGTATATTATATAGTGCATTTCTAGCCAAATATGTGAAAATCTGTTTAGTGGTTTCTGGGGGAGCCGTTTCTCTTTTATATAAGCAATTCCATGAATCTCTTTTTCCATGTCCACGATGATATTGTCTGAGTATAACCTTAATTTTCATTCCAGTTAACAATGTTTATAATTTATTCTTATCTCAGTGTATTGGGTCTACCCAGCAATCAGGTGGTAGTGGACATACCTATGTGTCCAGTTGCTTACCCATAAAATTCATCTGCTGTATTGTCTGGAGTTAACATGTTCCCAGGAGGGTTAGACAATAAAATTTTTGAATTTATCCAGGATTTCAAACTTACGACCGAAAAATGTTCATAGTATTTTTCAAGACAAAAATAAAAAAAATAGTCTATTTTACCTGAGTTATCCGTTTCATTACAAACGGGTATGTTTTATTGGTATTTTTAAAGAACAGGCTTTTGGTGTTGTTGAGTACTTCTGTTTATTTGTTTAAAAGATCTACCAGTTGATCTGTATAAAAGTAATGTATATTTATATAAAGCCATCACTGCCCATGTCAAGAAACAGAATGCTGCCAGCATCCAGTGGTGCGCTATGAGTCTCCTCCTAACTATATTGCATTCTCGCACCCAAAGGGAATTACCATCCTGCTGTCAGTATCAAGCCCTTTAAGGCTTTTCTTTATGTAGTTTTTTTTTTAAAGATTTTATTTTTTTATTTGACAGAGAGAGATCACAAGTAGGCAGAGAGGCAGGCAGAGAGAGAGAGGAGGAAGCAGGCTCCATGCCAAGCAGAGAGCCCGATGCGGGGCTCGATCCCAGGACCCTGAGATCATGACCTGAGCTGAAGGCAGAGGCTTAACCCACTGAGCCACCTAGGTGCCCCGTATAGTTTTATCATATTAAAAAGTCATTCCTAATCATATTTTATTTAGTTGTATCTTTCTGTGTCAGTGTAATTATACTTCATGCATCTTTAAATGTGAGGCTGCTTTTGCTCAATACTTTTAAGAACGATTCATGTTTTTGCAAATAGATGTATCTGTGTTTGCTCTGCAACAAGAATCAGGCATATTCTGTGAATATACAATAAATATTTTAGGAGTTGCTACCGTAAGAAGTTTGTCACATACGCTTCTTTGTTTTTGTAGTACAGTCTTTAAAAACATGGAAATGATGTGGGGACAATCATTCTTAGCTTCAAATTGTGTAGTAGTTGTAGTTTCTACACAGCATTACATATTTTGAGTATATGGCAGGTTTTCCTACTATTAATTAAATGTATTGTTTGCAGTTTGGATTGTTAGGAAGAATGCTGCTCTGAAAATTGTCTGTTTTCTGGTTCACGTGTGCCCTTATTTCGGTGTGAAGGGTGGTGTAGCTTAGATGTGTATCTCAGAGTGAAATTGCTGTGTCTCAGGGTGTGTTTAACTTCAACCAAAACAGGCAATGCCAGAATGTTTTACAGAGCAGTTGTACCATTTATAGTTCTTCCAGTAGAATATCATTTGCTTTATACTATAGTTTATGTAGCTTCTTTAAATATCTTTCCATACCCTAATATTGTTGAGAGATTTTCCTATATTCTTAAAAATATATTGATTTGAGGGGCACCTGGGTGGCTCAGTCGTTAAGCGTCTACCTTTGGCTCAGGTCATGATACCAGGGTCCTGGGCTCCCTGCTTGGTGGGAAGCCCGTTTCTCCCTCTCCCATCCCCCCTGCTTGTGTTCCCCTCTCTTGCTGTGTCTCTTTCTGTCAAGTAAATAAAATCTTTTTTAAAAATTTGCATCTTTCATTAATTGATAGCTGTCCTCTACAGTGATTTTTGTGTATGATGTGGGGTGGGGTTTAGCCATCTCCTTGTCCCCTCAACCCCAGAACGGACATCTCATTGTCCCTGCATCATTTTTTAAAAAGACAACCTTAGGGGTGCCTGGGTGGCTCAGTCGGTTAAGTGTCTGACTTTGGCTCAGGACCCTGAGATCATGACCTGAGCTGAAGGCAGAGGCTTAACTGACTGAGTCACCCAGGTGCCCCAGAGACATGGCATCTTTAAAATGCTTGGTTTTCTGGGTCATTGTCATAGTCAATGTCTTACTATTTATTTAAGTCTTAAAATTTCAGTATTTCTTTCTACTTATCAGATATTTTTGGTGTTCTTCAAAAGAGTGCCGTTGATAGATTTTGTTTGTTGATGGGCTGTTTGTTCCATCAGTTACTGGGAGAGGTGTGCTGAAGTCTTCTATTGGAATGATTGGTTTGTTCTTGTTTTTTGGTCCACTTTTGCTGTATATATTTCAAGGTTGTATTGTTAAGTGGATAGAAATTGCAGATTTTTATAATGTGGTGAATTGAATCTCTTAACCAGTGAGTGTTCTCTTTCTCTGTAGTGATATTTGGGCTTTTTGGTCCATTTTGTCTGAGAATATAGTTACACCAGATGATATATGGTTACTCTTCCCATGGTGTATCTTTTTCTAATCTTTTGTTCTTGAATTTTCCATGCCATTGTTTCAGACACGTAACCTATAATAGCATATTGTTAAATTTTATATTTTAATCCAGACTATTTTGAGACGTTTGTGTTTAATTTACTGAAATCCTTCTTTTATTTATACTTCATATAATTCTTAGTATGTTTTGTTTAAGAATAGTCATCCAAGTGAGCTGTAGTACTCCACTTGTTCTTAGTTCCCCCCCCCTTTTTTTGCCTTGTTTTGGATGAATTTGTCATTATATACCCCCTTCTGTCAGCACGAAAATTACATACCTTAAGACAATTGTTAGTTTTCATCATGACACTAGAGATAATATACAGCATGGAGCCTTCCTTTTTCAAATTCTTTTTATTAATTAGTACTTTTACACTCTTTTCCAGTGAGACAGGATCTGAGAACACTTAACTTCATTTACCACTCTCCAATTTATTTACAATATTCTGTACTTATGTCTTTATTTAAAACTCCCTGAGATATTATGAAGTAATAATACTTAACTTGTAAGACAGTGCCTCTGACTTGCCCAGTACACTGGTTTTCACACCAGTGTGCTTGAAAGAAGTGATTCTACTCACCGACTGTACAAAAGCTCTGGAGAGGTACCTGAACACACATGGTTTAAAGGAAAACAGTGCCCCGATAGTCTCCTTCTTGTGTGCTCTGTTTTATAAAAGTGATTTGCGTGAGAATCCCTTTCTCCTGAGGCATGGTGCTGGGGTAGATCTCATTTTCCTCTTCAGTGTCACACTCACCCAACTTACATGTCACAGAACGAAGGAAAACTTTGTGCATTTAGAACCTTGGGCTTTATTGGTCAGAAGAAAGAATCTTCTGGGCCAGCAAATAAAGGGACGCTTAGCAGTGCCGTGTGCTCAGGAGCTGTGGAGAGGGTCTGGACGAGAGGAAATGCGCCCCTCAGACTCCCTTGTCTCCTCAGCCCACAGGTCCTGATGCCCCAGGAGCAAAAGGATCATGTGAAGGAGGAAGAGGTTACAAGATGTGGTGTCAGTTTTTATGGGGGCACACCTGACCGAGACTGAGATTTCTGAAGAGAAACTAGAAGTAGATCCAGGAGACACAAAGCCGAGTTTTCCCACTGCCAGCTGTTTCAGAGGCCAGAAAAAATGATCCAGGTCCAGGTGACTTTTGGTTTGTTTTATTCTTTCCTTTGTTCCTTAATAGAATTGTAGAGGCCTGTAAAAAATCAGCTGCATGAATCTGAAAAGCATACATATTTCTTCTGCTTATCATATACATATGGATGGTGTTTCTAGGTTAAGAAGATTGAACTTTTACATGTTATAGAAACTTCTCATTGGAAGAATGGATGGATGACTGTGCACAATTACAGAATATTTAATTAGGCATCTGCTTCTTCCACAATGTTTCAAAATACCCATCCCCATTTAGATACAGTCTATAGCGTGGAAATAAGCAGACAAATTTTAACATTTCTTCTCTATCATCAAAAGGATGTCACTTCATTAGAGAACACTGTTATTACAGGAATCCCTGACATTTGATGATGTGGCCGTGGACTTCACCTGGGACGAGTGGCAGCTCCTGGCCCCTGCCCAGAAGGACCTGTACCGGGACGTGATGTTGGAGAACTATAGGAACCTGGTGTCAGTGGGTGAGGACAGCTCCCCAGTGTCACTTGGAGGGTCCCCATCAGTGACCTTTCCTTTCTCAGCTTCTTAAAGCTCTGTGGTGTCTGTGTTGCTCTGAAGTGAGATTCTTAGTCCCCTCCCTGGCTCCAGACACAGGGGTATATTCTCCTGTGTGCAGGAGTGCAAGCCATTACTTTGTACATATGTGTGATTTACGATGCCATATATATGTATCGCACATACATGTATGTGAAACAAATGTATTTTTGGTCTTCATCCCAAATTTTGGCACAGAGCTCCTATAACAGTTGTGATTTCCTAAGTTATAAGAGGATAATAAAATGGGTGTCTTTTGTTACTTAAATAACAAGACCCTTTCGACCACATTCGAGTTTATGTTAATGAGGTGATTTTTGGAAAGCAGTTGTTTAACTGAAGGACGGAGTCTGGTTGCCAAGGGAACCAACCACCATGACAGGGTTGGAACTCTGAGTTCCATCGCACCTCTGGGGAGGAGAGAAGAGTTGGAGTTTGAATCAGTCACCAAAGTCTAATGATTTAATTAATCATGTCTACTTAATAATGTCTCCATAAAAACCCAAAAGGACAGTTTTTTGAGGCCTTTTGAATTGGTGAACAAAAGGAGGTGGGGGGAAAGTACTCAGAGAGAGCATGGAAGCCCCCCACCCCTTCCCACATACCTGGTACTGCGTACCTCTTACACTGGGCTGTGCCTGAGTTTATAGCAAACCAGCAATGTGATAAGGAAACTTCCCGAGTTCTGTGAGTTGCTCCAGCAAATTAACTGAATCTGAAAAGAAGCCCGGGAAATAATTTGGACTTGTGACTGGGGAAGTCTCAGGGAAGTGGGGGGGGGGTGGTGTGCAGTGTTGTGGGCGTGAACCCCTAACCTGTGGATCTGAAGCCATCACGAGGTGGAGAATGTCAGAGCTAAATTGTTGGACACCCAGTCAGTGTCCCTTGGTGTCACGGAATTCTTCGGTGTGCGAAAACCTCCCATATCAGATGTCAGAAGTACTGTAGAAGAGTATCAACAGTAAAGGAGATGCATAGCGCAGAAAGGTTTTCCTCTATGATGTGAAAATTGTTTTGTCCTTAACTGTAACATTCGGTGGTCTTCCCAGACCCCAAGCCTGAAGCTTAGTCTTTTATCTTCTGTCATTCCCATGAACAGGTTTTCACACTAGCAAACCCGATGCGCTCTCCAAGTTGGATCCAGGAGAACCAACATGGACAGGAGAAGATGACATCCCCTGTCGTACCCTTTCAGGTGAGTCCGAGAACCTGGAGGGGGTCAGGAGGGGGCAGGCTATGGAAATCATACTCTGATTGGTCAGATAAGAGGCACAGCTGTGAGAGGTAGGCAGTGCCTTCATGCATCTCTCTCCTGATGTGTGACCTCTTTTTCTTCATAGGAATTTAGAGAAAAATGTATGTTTTACCTATTCAGGGATCTCTTCCATTTTTATTTTCTGTACATCTTAATTTTTTGCTTATTTGCATAGTTCTCTTTTTCTTAGGATTCACAGATCTTTCCCTTCTTTTTTTTTTTTTTTAAATCTTTCCTTTCTTCATACCCTTCTACCTTCCTTGCCATAACCGTCCACTGCCCAGAGGCCCCTCCCCAAACAGAAAACTTTGAATTCCTCACTGTCTTCTAACTGCTGCACCTTTGTGTCCCACTGGCAATGTTGATTTTCCTTCCTGACCTCCTCTAAATCCTGGATGCTGTGTCCCCAAAGTAAGCTGGTCTTCACTGGGCCCTTGTCCTCACTTTGAGGTCCTCCAAAGGTTCTGTTTTCCATTTTCTCATCTGGTCTCATAACTTTCAAACTTTTTTCTTTCTTTCTTTCCCTTCCTTCCTTCCTCTCTTTGTTTTTCTCTCTCTCTTAATCTCTCTCTTTTTCTTTCTCTTTTAAAGCTTTATTTAATTTATTTAATTAAGCTTTATTTAATTAAGCAATCTCTATACCCAGTGTGGGACTCCCACTCACAGCCTGAGATCAGGAGTTGCCTGCTTCTCTGACTGAACCAGCTAAGCACCTCAAACCTTCTTTATTCTAATAAGCTAAGCTTCTTCGGTTCCCTGCAGAAGACTCTCAAACGGACATATCCTGAAAGTGATCCGCCAGACTTCAGTTTTGTATCATTCACTCGCCCCTTGGCAAGTTCCCAATAAGCGCAAGGAACTCTCATCATCTTCCCTCCCAGAAAACCCCTATAAGCTTAGGTTCTCTATACTCCTGTGCATCTTACATCCTGGCCATCCAGACATTACCTCAGATGTTCCCTATATGCAGAGCTCTCATCTTTAAAGGAGTCTCTTGTTCCTGAATTTGAGCTTAAAAAATATTTTAGCATGCTCCAGTCTCCATTCTAACCTAAGCCAGATCATAACTCAGGCCTCCTTTAATTCCTCTATGTATTTACTAATTTTGAATTTTCTTCTCGTTCCTTGTAGGTGTTAAACTGTTGTGTTCATTTCTTTGAAACTTTTATTTTTTTCCATCATATTCTGCTGACAGGAAGTCCCAGTTAACCATGTTACCTGGTCACAGGACATGAAATTGTGTTCTCCATAATGTATTATCTTGCTTACACAAATACAGAGTTTTGTCATCTCTCTTACACTCTCAAAACTGTGTTCTGTACGTGTGATTGCTTCCTTCCTTCATTCCTTTAAAAATCATTTGTGATAGCACTGTATGCTTGAGGATCCAGTGGACATGCATACAAGTACACCAAGAGCTTTCATTCTAAGAGGTTTAAAAAATTAATCAAAATAAACAAATAGGGACGCCTGGGTGGCTCAGCAGGTTAAGCCTCTGCCTTCAGCTCAGGTCATGATCTCGGGGTCCTGGGATCGAGTCCCGCATCGGGCTCTCTGCTCGGCAGAAAGCCTGCTTTCTCCTCTCTCTCTCTCTCTGCCTGCCTCTCTGCCTGCTTGTGATCTCTGTCTGTCAAATAAATAAATAAAATCTTTAAAAAAAAACAAATAAATAATATGTCCAGAGGGTTAAAAGTACTGTGATAAAAATTTAGTCGTTATAACAGAACAGTAGGGGCTTGGTCTCCTCTTTAGGAATGGAACGTACAAGGTGCCTTAGGGCCAGGAGGTGAGGGAAATTAGCAGGCTGCTGGATTGGGAGTGTTCCAAGCAGAGAGCAGAGCAAACTTAAAAGCCCAAAGCAGGAATGTGTTTGAGAAACATCAAGGAGCTGTGTGGGCAGAGTGGAGTGTGCTGTCGGGAACATGATGGAAAAAAGGTTAAAGAGGCTGTAACAGCAGGGGGAAGGGAGAGTAAGATCATTCAAGTAATCCATTTCAAGGAATCATGATTTTGTTTCTAATAAGATGAGAAAGCATGAGCAGTTCTTGAGTACTGGGATGACACGAACTAATTCTGTTTCAGAGAATCCCTCTGGTTGTTGTACAGGCAGTAGAGAGTGGTGGGCACAAGGGCCATGTAGGCGGCTGTTGCACCACATGATGGCAGATCGGCTGGCTTCAGCATGGGTGGAGGGGAAATGTTGGTCACGTTCTGGATGTAGTCATTACAGAGGACGGGTGAGATTCAACATTAATATGGCCTTTGTGAGAGGAAGGAATGGATGGAGGTGGAAGGTAAGGCTCTGGGCGTGAAAACAGGTGTTAGGGACAGTAAAACAGCGTGACTGAACAATGAGTGCTTGGCCTTGCCCGTGATTTGAGGTATGGGAAATCCTTGTTAAGGTACATTTGAGCAGGTAGATGAGGGATGTGAGTAGGCTCCCTGGGTAAGGAAGATCCACAGTAAAACTGGAAAGCTGGAAAGCTCCTGAGGCAGAAGTGTGGTCTGCAGAATTTAGGAAGAGTAGACAGAGCAAGACTGGAGAGAAGGTCAACGGGGTGGTGGCTGGGGGTTGGGATAGCAGGTCGCATAAGAGCCTTTCAGGGACATGGTAAGACCTTGATTTTATTCCTCAGGAGATGAGAAAACATTAGGGAGTTTCGAGCAGTGGAGGCTTGACTCGATATAATTTACATTCGGAAGGATCACCTTGGCTGTTGTCTAGAAAGCTGACAGGAGCTGGCTGGGCAGGAACAGGAAAGCCAAGCAGGAGGCCGCTGCTATGGAACAAGAAAGTGACTGGCTTCCATGAAGGTGCGAGGCACTGGTGTTGGTCCAGTTCCGGTTATGATTATGAAGAGGGCAGGCGGGACTGATCGCGGAGGGAGAACCTATGTGTGAGTGAGACACAGATGACAGGCGGTGCTGAGTCCTGTCCTGGTTAGAGGGAAGAGCAGAGGTGCCATTCACTGTGCCAGAGGGGCTATGTGGAGGAGGAGATTCGGGACGGGAGATCAGGAGTTCCCTTTTGGATGTTGTAGGTTACATGTTGTTTGGAGCCCAGCGCGTATCATTATTGTTGCTCCCCAAGGCAGATGGTGACAGCGAATCCTCCAGGGAGGCCTGTCTTCCTCCACAGTGTCACCTGATTTCCTGCATCTCTCTCCATCCCCATTGCTCCTTCACACCAGTTTTCACAGTGTGCAGCTTCCTGTGTCCTTTAACCAAACTGCAGTGTAGGCCCCTGAACATGAGGACTCTGAGTGTGTCCCCAGCATGAGTACCGTGTCCTGCACACAGTAGTCCTCAGTACAGATTTGTGACATGACTGAGTCTGTCTCTGGCCAGTTTGGATGAGGTGGCCCTCCAACCTGTGGTCTGCTGTTCCTGGGAAATTGTGTGTATTTCATAGGCGCTGCGTGTTTTGCAAGGCCTCGTTTAGACATCAGTCAAATCTGTATTTATTTATTGTGAACGATCCAACCTTGTTTTTACACTATCTTTTGGGTTATTTATATTATTGTTTTATCAGATGTGCAAGGAACATCAAACATGTATCAATACTAATTTTGTAGAGTCATCACTAAATAGACATATGACATCAAGGGAGTCTTTTAGTTGTCTTTTGTCCAAATCAAGATGATAAATGAATTCCTTATTCTTTTCCTTTCTAGGAATCTGGAAACTTGACGAATATTTGCCAGAGCACTTACAAACTGATATCATGGAGAATAGCGTAGAACGATGGCACAAAGAGGGAACATTTGACAGTAATGTTCGTCAGAGCACAGCTCGTTTTGTGTTAAGGCAAAATCATGATATGTGTGACTTACATGGAAAAATTACAAAACCAAACTTAACTTTACTTCACCAGAGCAGAAACTGTGAAATAAAGAACCCTGCAGATCTTACTGGAGATGGGAAATCCCTTCTGCATGCTAACAATGAACAATTTCATCCTAGAACTAAATTCCCTGAAAGCAGGAAACTCATCAGTACTAAGTCCCAATTCATCAAGCATCAGAAAACACAAAAAATAGACAAGCCTCATGTATGCAGTGAATGTGGGAAAGCCTTCATCAAGAAGTCCTGGCTCACTGATCACCAGATCATTCATACAGGAGAGAAACCCCACAGGTGTAGTCTGTGTGGGAAGGCGTTCTCCAGAAAGTTCATGCTCACTGAACACCAGAGAACACATACAGGAGAAAAACCTTATGAATGCTCTGAATGTGGCAAAGCCTTCCTCAAGAAATCACGGCTCAATATACATCAGAAAACACACACAGGAGAGAAATCCTATATATGCAGTGAATGTGGGAAAGGCTTCATCCAGAAGGGCAATCTCATTGTGCATCAGCGCATCCATACTGGAGAGAAACCTTACATATGCAGCGAGTGTGGGAAAGGCTTCATCCAGAAGACATGCCTGATAGCACATCAAAGATTTCACACAGGAAAGACTCCCTTTGTGTGCAGTGAATGTGGAAAATCCTGTTCCCAGAAGTCAGGTCTCATTAAACATCAAAGAATCCACACGGGAGAGAAACCCTTTGAATGCAGTGAATGTGGGAAAGCCTTTACCACAAAGCAAAAGCTCATCGTCCATCAAAGAACTCACACGGGCGAGAGACCCTATATCTGCAGTGAGTGTGGGAAAGCTTTTGCCTACATGTCTTGCCTTGTTAAACATAAGAGAATACACACGAGAGAGAAATGTGGAGACTCAGTCAAAGTGGAAAGTCCTCCCTCAGGGCATCACAGCTTATCACAGACCGGTGGTGCCACGCAGGGGAAAGCCCTTGTCAATACTGTGACTGTGCAGGTGCCTTCTGTGGCTTGTCCGACGTCACTAAACATCAGTGGGCTCTTAGCAAATAGGAATGTGGTCATAGTGGGACAGCCTGCAGCCAGATGTGCACCCTCAGGAGACAACAGAGGATTTGCACAGGACAGAGACCTCATGAATGCAGTGAATGTGGTCGTGCCTTCCGTGGTCAATTATGTCTTATTTTATGTCGCAGAAAACCAGTAGGAGAAAGCAGAGAAGGGTTGAGCAAACATTTCTAGGCCATATTATGGCTGAAAAGTATATCCTGCGAGGAACTGTTATGAATCCTGAGGGTGGGAAAGTTTGAGCTCATCCTGTTAAAAATATGCCTTGAAACAGAGGCATAATCTGATGTCAACCCAAATACATACGCCTCAGTTGCTGTATGTGTCTGTCAAAGGAATGAAGGAATATCAAGTTCAGTAAGTGGAGGAAATAAATTCAATCAAGGCTAACCTTGGGTGGGCGGGGTATGGGGCATGTGTATATCAATTCCGTTTTTGCAGGCCAAGGGGAAGGAGTAATTGGAAACTGGGATGTCTGCTGTGAACTCTTAGAAGGTTATTTTCTACAGAGGCACTCATGGAACAGCAGCCTTAGAATGAGTCCGTTCATTCATTTACCGAGTATTTGTTAAATACTCCCTTTGTACTGGGTCCTGTTTGAGGAGGTGAGGATTCAGTGGTGACCAAAACAAAAAGGCCATGGTCTCCTGGGAGAGAGCACTGAGGTACCTGGATTATCTTTAAGTGGTACATTTACACCAGCTAATCTAGAAAGAGGATGTAAATATCTATTCTACGTGAAATAGATACCGTCTTGGTTCATTCTGGTGGCTGTAAGAGCATACTGTAGCCTGGATGGCTTATAAAAAGAGAAATTTATTTAAAAGAAAAAGAAGTGCGGAGTTCTTACATAATGAAAGTTTCAGAATGTTCTAAATTACACACGAGAAGTCTTGAATAAATAATGAAAGAAAAAAGTTATTTCTGTTTTGGAAGCTGCAAGGTCGAAGATAAAGGTGGTGGGAGATTTGGTGTCTGCTGAAGGTCTGCTTCCTGGCTCGGGGAAGGCAGTCATCTCACTGTGTCCTCACATAGGGGAAGGGGAGAGCCATTCTCTGGGATGTCCTACCAGGGCACTAATCCCATTCGCGTGTGTTCTACCATCATGACCTAATCACCTCTCAAGGGCCCACTTCTTAGTACCATCATATCTGGGATTAGGATTCAATATATGAATTTGGGGGAGGGGACACAAACAGTCCAGAGAAGATAATGGAGTACGGAAGTCCCCTCTTATGTGTGGGGTGTATGTTCTAAGACCCCCCAGTGGATGCCTGAAGCTAGGCAAGCACTGAACCCTATCCTATATACAGTATGTTTTTTCTTATACAGGCACACCTCTGGTGAAGTCGAATTTATAAATTAATCATAGTCAGAATTAACACCAAAACCAGTAATAAAATAGAACAAGTATAACAATACCCTGTAATAAAAGTTATGTGAATGTGGTCTCTCTCAAAACATTTTACTGTCCTGTACTTGCCCTTCTGTGATTATGTGAGATGATTAAAAGGCCCATGAGATACGTACGAAGTGATCTGGAGGACTTGTGATCCAGGGTTAGGTCAGTGCTGCTGTCGGGAGGATTTGTGACTTAGGGTTAGGCCGCTGCTGCTGTCAGGAGGATCATCTGCTTCCAAACCGCCTTTGACCTCAGGTAACCCCTGAAAGTGAAGCCACAGATAAGGGGTGACACTGTTTGGTTCTAGGGATTATGATAATTTCTTGTTCAAAGGGTGTATTACTTCAGTGGAGGGCAAGGACTCAATGGATTTTAAAGCACCCTTGATATAAGTAAGTTTTGTTTTTTTTTTTAATGTCCATATCTTCTGAAGTAGGTTAAACATTCCTTGACATTTTGTTTTTGCTATTTAAATTTTAAAGTTTTAAAAACAAAATAAAAAATCAGTTCCTCAGTTGCACGAAACCAAATTTCAAGTGCTCAGTAGCATCTGTGACTAGTGGCTACTCCTTTGGACAGCACAGTGAGGCAAATTTTGTAGCTTCACTATGTGGCTAAAAAGCATAGAGAGAGAAATCTGTCATCATCTCCAGAAAGTTATCTTGGAGCGTATTGCTTTGCATGGCTTTATGTTACCAAGCACAGAAAAATTAGGGCAAATATGCTGGTCTGGAAAGTAAATAAATTAGCCAATGAACTGGTCAGAATGTTTTGTCACTGAAGGAAGCAGTTAAGTCATTCGAAAGCAGTTCTTTTTTTTTTTTTTTAAGATTTTATTTATTTATGTGACAGAGATCACAAGTAGGCAGAGAGGCAGGCAGAGAGAGAGAGGAGGAAGCAGGCACCCTGCTGAGCAGAGAGCCCGATGTGGGGCTCGATCCCAGGACTCTGAGATCATGACCTGAGCCGAAGGCAGAGGCTTTAACCCACTGAGCCACCCAGGCGCCCCTCGAAAGCAGTTCTAAAGAATACAGACGTCTCCTTCCAAATCATGTGTGATTAGAGACTCAGTAACTGAATATAAACCAGGCAAGAATATAAAAAAGAGGTCTCAGAATAAAAAAGAGGACAAGAGTCTTTGTTTCTAAGACTGGAGAATCTAGGAAATGGGAGATGAGGTCCTTAAGGGATATCATGGAGAAGAACCTTCATATTTGTCCCCAGAACCATCACCCTTGAGAGCTGCCACCGAATCAAAAGGATTCCAGCTGCACTGGTCGCTGCTGAGTTGAGACCTGTGCTTTCTCCTTATGATTCCTTCTCCCTCTTCTGGGAGTGGAGCGCTTGGCCTCTCACTACTGAATATTTTCCCTCAATCTCATAAATACCACATAGTTATCCACCTACCTGAGTTACAAACAGTTCTCTCAAAGGAAAAGAAACTTCCTGTCCTGTGCCTGTCTCAGCATTCAATAGGAAATGCCCGGTTACTGGTATTCGTTCCTTCAGATACATTCTGAAGCTCACTGAGGAAACATTACTGAACAAAACGGGCAACAGCACAGTCTTTATGGAGCTTACAGTCTAGTGAGGGGGAGACAGTGGATTACCTAATCTTAGGAAGTGATAAATACTGTGAAGAAAAAGCCTAGTAATACTAATTGACAGTAATGTATAGGTTGCAATAGGACAGGCTCTTCTCTGCCTGCCACCCACACGCCCATGGGCTTTTCTGGATATAATTTGAGCCAAGACAGAAGTAGGGGAATCACCCATCCTAATATTTGTAACCACAGAACAGTTTACAATTATTTCTAATGATTATGACAGGCTTCTTGTCTCAGATCCTCTGAGAAACTTAAAAGAATGCAAACTCCCAAGTCACACCCCATGCGTCCTAATCCAGAATCTCTGAGGCGGAGTCTAGGACACCGGCCTGACGAACAATTAATTTTCAGCACTCTTTACCCTAAAAACTGAATTACTGCCCACCACCGCCCTCACAATATAACTGGATGGATTCAGGTGCTGCCTTTCTCATTGCCTCCAGGTTTGTTGGCCTTGATTTTGGTTGCCTTTTTTGGCCTTGTTGGCCTTGATTTTGGTGGCCTTTTCCCCAGGCCTTGATTTTGGTGGCCTTGTTGGCTTTTTTCCAAGGCTCCAATCCCAATTTGGGTGGTTCCAGCTGCTCTTTCCCTCTGGTGGGTAATAGCCACCCCTCACACGCTGCCAGTTTCTGGGAATCTGTTCTTAAAGATTGCTTTCGCAAGCAAAAATTACTTGGGCTGCCTGGGTGGCTCAGTTGGTTAAGTGGCAGACTCTAGATTTCTGCTCAGGTCAGTATCTCAGGCTCTTAGGATCAGCCCTGCCTCTAGCTCCTACTCTCTGGGGAGTCTGCTTGAAATTCTCTCTCTACCCCTCCCCTGGCTCTCTCTCAAACAACAGAAATCTTAAAAAAAAAAAAATACCAAAATTTCTATGTTTCCTGATTTAAAAAAAAAAAAAAGATTTCTTATTTTAGAGAGCCCAAGTGAGGGAGAGTGCCTGGGGCAGAGGGGCAGAGGGAAAGCGAGAATCTCAAGCGACTCCCCACTGAGTGCGGAGTCTGACTGGGCTGTCTCACAACCCTGAGCTCAGGACCTAAGCCAAAATCCAGTCAGTGCTCAACCGACTGAGCCACCCAGGTATTCCTTATAAAGAGAATTTTAAAGGATTCCTACCATTAGAAGCTTTAGGTCAGGGAGAATGACAAATTTAAACTGTATGGATATTTCTAAAATACCTTGAAAAAAAGATGTACGGATTATACCCTCCACTCCCCCCACCTCTTTTGCCTGCATAACATAATGGCTAGTATTTCTTAAGTATGTTTATTTTCCTTGGAAATGATGCCAAACAAAGCAGTAGCATATCTGATCATCTGATCACTCTCCCGTGCCCGGGTATTTTGGGGAAACACTTGCGTATATCTGAAGCCTCACCCATCTCCTTTCCCTACTGGATGGGGCGCCCTAGACAAGTCCCCGAGGGCATCTATTTCCGCAGCCCCGCGCTCCACCGTTCGCTCAACCCTTTCTAGCGTCTCCGACCCACCAAACACAGAACTGCGCTATCGTTCTCACGTCCACTCCACCCCATTCTCAAATCTCACCAGGACTGGAATTCTCCCGTACTTCGTCCATGGTCTGACCGCTATCCCTTTAACGCCTCGGCTCCCACACCCCTCGTAGGAGGTCGTGTCCTCTTGTCCTTAGCTCCCCGGGTCTTCCCCACCCAGCGGAACCGCATCCTCGCAAAGATGGCCGCCCCCACGGTGCTCCTCTGTAACGGCTCACGGGCGCCGCCATCGTTCCAAAAGGCTAATCAGAAAAACCACAGGGCGACGCGGGCCTTGGATAGGGTCCGCCTCTGCAAACTTATTCATCACAGCGCTGTAGCCAACGAGAAGGCGGAGAAGGCCAGGAGATATCCCAAATCGACTTCAGCATCCTCTTTCGGCCCCGGGCGCAGCCCCCGCTACCGTCTTTTGGGCCCAGATCGCTGCGGGGGGCGTGGCCACGTACGTCACAGAGCCGCATCCGCGGCCAGAACGCGGCTGCCTAAGCGCGGCGAGGTTGAGGACGCACCTGACGCGTCTCTAGCGACCGCTGGGGGCGCCGGGACTGGGTTATTTGGAAGTGAGTTCAGTCTCTGGTAGCGGCAGGTGGAGTCTACCGAAGTTCAGCGTCAGGTGGGTGTCTCCGGAGTGAGGCTCCTGAGGCTCGTAAACTGCCTTTTGGGGGATTTGTTTTGGTTCGGTCCCTGGGGAAATCTGGGCTCTAGTAGTAATCGGCCCTTTCGGGGTCCGTGTTTTTAAGCGTTTAAAGAAATTAATGGCCGAGGGCGCGACTGTCTGCGTCGGTGTCGGTGTGAGTGATTCTACTTGCGGGGCGTAGTAGAGGATGTACAGGATCCAGTACAGGATCCAGTAGAGCTGGAATGGTAGTGGTGTGTATCAGGTTCACGCTTCCCTGCGGGGCTCGGACACGGAGAAACTTGGGGTGCAGGGTGTTAGCGAAGGCCTTTCTGGTCAAGATTTCAGACTTAAGGGGGGCCTGGTGGCTCAGTTGGTTAAGTGTCCGCCTTGGCTCAGGTCATGGTCTCAGGACCCGGGGGTGAGCCCAAGGTAGGTCACCCTGCTCAGCTGTTAGACAGCGTCTCTGGTTCTTTTCTGTGTTGGGAGTTCTTAGTCATTCTGTCAAGGGATGGTTGAGTGAATGGACAGAGTCCAAAATACCAACCACGACCCAAGCAAGGTGCACCCTAGGCACATCTGGAGTGGTCTGTCGGTCGGAAGTCACCATTGAAAAATAAAGCCAAAATGAAACCCAAGAATAAAATTTAAAAAAAAGTAAGGGCGCCTGGCTGGGTCAGTGGGTTAAGCCTCTGCCTTCGGCTCAGGTCATGGTCTCAGGGTCCCGGGATCGAGCCCCGCATCCGGCTCTCTGCTCAGCAGGGAGCCTGCTTCCCTTCCTCTCTCTCTGCCTGCCTCTCTGCCTACTTGTGATCTCTGTCAAATAAATAAATAAAATCTTTAAAAAAATTTAAAAAGTAAAAAAGAAAAGAAAATGGGGATACTATAATCTCTCAGGATGGACAAAGCAGGGTGTTCCAGTTCTTGGTGAATTTTGGTCTGTGTGTTAGAGGACACCACATCCCCAAATTACAAGGAAAGTAAACCATATATAACATATTGAGTAGAGTGAAAAAAGGAGTAAAATGAAGCATATTATCTAAAAAGAAAAAGCATAAGAAAAAGATAAGAAAAGGAGAATTTTATCTGAAAAATAAACAAGTTGTGAGCTCAATATACTATTTTCCCCTGACATTGGGATTTTACAGTATTACAGGATCCGTAGGGCTGCGGTCCACCTGTTCTTCCAGACTGTCCTCTGCAGCTGTTTCTTAGGTAATCTGGCTGGTGCAGTTTCCCCACCCACCCTGAGGAGGGTGGGCTCAGTGGAAGCCCATGTTCTGCGTGACTTTTGTTTCCTGGAGGCTTTTTGCGCCTCTTCAGAGGAT